AAATGTATGATAAGTGACAAGGAATAAGGTATTAAAAACAAGGACATAAAATCCTAGACTTCCTGAAGAACTGTGACAGAACCTTCAAATTTAATTTTTTCGTTGGCCTCCTTGTTGGCTCGTATCATTGCCCAGTTTATCATCGGTGCTGGGTTACTGCCAGTGGTTGAATCTGTTGGATTAGTGTTCATACCTACAAAAGTTTGTTACCTTAATCAAGTCTAAACATATTATTTGCAAGTTTTATCTTAATATGTCTGTCTCAACTCAATAACTGTATTAAATTGGTCACAAAGAAAATTACATCTAAAATATGAAATAAAATATAAAATAAATGAGCTATATAGAGCTAGGATTTTCTTTGATTTCCCTTTGAATATCACTTTGGTATTGTCAAACGTACTGTGACAGAATATCACTTTTAGTCAACAAATAAATTACAGTATTACACTGTCATACATGCCAACTTTCCCGATTTAGGCGGGATCCTCCCGATTTTACCCTCTCATCCCGCCTTCCCGATCGGGAAAGCAAAATTGCCCTTATTTCCCGATTTGAAAAAAAAATCACCAAAATTTCCGATTTTAAAAGTTTCCCTACCGCTGAATTTTGACAATCAGGATAACAATGTCAGACTTGTTTATTCAATGTACACAGATAAGTTTCATTGTGTATTTAACCAGATGTTAATTAGGCCTAGCCACAGGAAATCACTTCATGCTTGAACGCACGAAGTTGTCCACTGGTGCAAGAAGCTTATAGCTTGGGGCAATTAGGGGATTATCTTGTTAGTTTTAAAGGGTATGCAAGGTGAAACACACAGATTAACAAGATAATTGTTTGTCATTTTATTAAAAATATAAATTAAAGACAATAAAATGCAAATCAAACAATAAAAATGGAATCCAAATTAAGAGATCGTTTTTTGAAAACGAAAGTAGAAAACTATAAAGCATAGCTGCTGATTTTATCTACCTATAATGAAAAATATTTTAAAGTTTGCCAGTTAAAATATTATTAAAAAATTAAAATGAAACAATCAAGTGTATATCAATTAGAATTTCTTTCCCCTCCCTTCTCCCAAAAGTAATATGTTAGGTAGATCTATGTGCATGACTTAAGGAAATACCCACATGGCACCATCAAGCCTGACAAATTTCATGACTGTAAAAAAAATAATTCTGTTTTGGATAGGTGGAATAAATTTCTGTAAATTTAATATCTTATTAAAATTTCTAATAAATTGAAATATAAATAAAAAAATCTCAAAAATGTTTCTAGAAACAGGACTTTACAGTATCAATACCTCATTTATTTTTAGCCTTTGAAAAAAAATGATTTTAAAGTTGTACAATTTTCAATTTTTCACTAAAGTCTGTCCTGGTAGAAAAAAAGTTGTTTATATAAGTAACTATAAATACCCCTTCTTTAGTGAGAGAGGCACCTCATTTTATAGCAAAAATATTTCAATTTTTTGAAAGAAAAACATTTTTTGTGTTAAATTAATCCTTGAGTTTTATTGATAAGTGATATCAATATTATAAATTAAAAAAAAAATCATTTCATAATCATTTAATTTCATGGCAAAATGTCGCGAATTTAAAACTTTGAAAATTGTCGTCACGCGCTAAATCCCCCATGGGAATTTTCAAAAGTTGGCATGTATGCACTGTTGAAAATGTAATATTATTGTAATACATCACCTATCCATGTATCAACAAGTTGCCCAAATAAAAGAACAAATTTTGTTCAACATACAGTAGTTGTGATAGAAGGTTGTGTGAATCAATTTAATGTTAACAGCATTTGATGCTACAGGATGCATTATAGATACCCAGTCACTTACTTCCAAAAGATCTGGTCACCCTGCTGACTGGATTAATGGTCTCCTCTATCAGCTCTTTAGCTTTAGCCACAGCCTCCGGAGATCCTGAGAGCTCCACTCTAATCTCTCCATTATCATTCTCTTCTCTCGTCACCTAAAATACCCTCAACAATATAATGGTTTACATACATGTAGAAGGCATTTGCAGTCAATGAAAATGAAATGCAAAAGAGTGAAAAGGAAATAGACTTGTGGTGTACATTTGACATAAAACTTTCTCTCATAATAAGAATTAAGCATTGAGTAAAAGTATGGAAAAAGGGACTAAAATGTAGCAGAAAAGTTTGATTTGCATATCAAAAATGATATTACAGCGGCAATATAGAACTGTCCATAGATGACTAATTATTATTATAGCATGTACGGATCAATCTCACCTGAATTCTTGCATTACTGTTGTCCTGTAATTCCCTGATTTTAGAACCACCTTTACCTGTAGTGTTAGTAAAAACAAGCAATTAAATTCTAGCTTATTGGAGCATCAGATTATATTATAGAACACATAAAATATATTAGTTTTTTACTCTTTCCCATAGGTACTCAACCACATCTCCAGTGATTTAACTATATACTGTAAACCAACAACTATTTGTGTCATCTTTTATTCAAGATTTGTCAGTTTGAAATCAATCTGTGACAATTAATTTTCGTGACCGAATGTAAATAAAAATAAGTCGCGGAACTTGCAAATACATTTCTTGCATGCTAATAAAAGTTGGTTGACAGTAATTAAACGTCAGGTTTGCTGTTGATATGATGGTAATACTTATGTTAAATGCGATATTGAAGAAAGTGGGTACTGACAACATTCAAGAAGGATAAGAAAAAAATTTTGGTAGTGAATCGTTGTTTGAAATGAATGCTGACAAGTTGTTTTGAATAAATGATCTGTAATGGCTAAATGCTAAACTTCTTCAAAAGTGCATTGCATTCCTGTTTGTACGCTAATACATAGCTCAAGTTTTGGTCAATTGAGTGATTTCTATTGACTTTTTTCTTTAGGCTATAATAAAGTTTATTGAAAAAGTTGTAAACTCCATCCGGTGGGGAAATTGTTTATAAACACTGTTTCAACACAAGTCCTTAAAAATTACCTATGATTCTTCCTACTAGGGAGGATTCAACATACATCGCTGAACTATTTCCATCCGACCTCTCACTGCTGTCATTTCTCTGTGGACGTCCACCACCAAATGATCCTCCCCGTCTTGAGCGTTGCCCAGTTTCCCTACCCCGCCCTCTATCCCCTCGACCAAACCCCCTGTTTTCAAATGCATCTTCCTCTTCACGATTTCGCCAATCACTTCTGTCAGATCTTGATGACGACCAATTTCCTCGGCCCCGTGACCGTAGGCCTTCAAATCCGTTTGATCTTTCAGGTTGCATCTTCGGTGACTGACGTTGACTGACAGAGGGAGACTGGGTGTAGGTATTATCCCAGGCGCAATATTGAGGCTTTACTGTTACAGATGATGTTGTTCCGCCCTCTAATTCGGCGTCCCAATCCTCCTCTTCATACATCATTCACGAGAAAACTTGCACACAAATTGAAATTTCGAGGGAAATCTGCCGCATGGAGGCAAGTAAAGCTAGATATTATTTAGTTGCGCACAAAATCTGAAAACCCGTTGTTTTCAAAAAAATATTGATTTTAAATACTGTTAAAATTAAGACTAAAAAATTTAAATGCAATTCAACTCTTGCAAATTTTATAATTTATTTTTTAAATTAAAAATGTTTATACGAAAGTAAGAGAAAACCCAGTGAAAGTAAAATGGTGGAACTTGAGAAAGGAAGTTGGCCTGTGGATGCAGAAGTAAGCTTGTTTCATGCTATGAGGGGTCACAAGCCAGTTGGTATGTAAAACTCATTCAAATCTTGCGATTTAAATTTGTTTTGAACGTGAAAATTACTTAGAATTGATGCTGTTTAGACGCTTGACAGTTTTGATTGTTTGTAAGGGTTGCAAAAGATGAAGGAAAATTATTGTAAAATGTAAGAAAGAACAAAACACGGGTAAACTTCGATAACTCGACATTGGATACATCAACAACATGGGTAATCTCAGCGAGATGTTGTAGGGACTAAACTTTTGGCCTGGTGTTCATGTCGTAGGGACACTAGTTAGAATAATCAAACTGTGTCTTGGGACAAGCCCTCACCACAGTTAGAATACCACCTATATACTTGCAATGTAGCAAAAAATTGCAGAATCGCTCCGAAACGATTTTGAAGGATACAAACTGATTTACACTGAAAATAACATAAATTAATCATAACAAACCTTTTTGGGGCTGCGTAAGTATTTAAATGTTTTTTCTCGCTTCAAATTTACACGCCATGTTTATGTTCAGAACTCATTTGATTGTTCACAGTAAATGCACTAGTACGAATTATCGCCCGTGTTTACTTTGCTACATTGTGAATACATGGAATGCATTCTATTGTTAAACCGAGTCTGTAGGACATTTATCATTTTAACGATAGAACATTCTATCTATAGGGACACCAGACCAAAATTTTAGTCCCTATGACATCTCGCTGAGGTTACAACATGGGATATGTCGACGTCCGTCCGCGGTCCCTACAGTATTTAAATGATTTGCAAAAACTCTGATTTGTCAACATTGCCACCCATTGGTAATGTAAATGTCGACAACCCCGCTTATCTCAAAGTACGAGGGTTGATCAAAAAGTTTGTGGAATTTCTTAATATTTCATTCATTTATAAGTGAAATTGGTTGAAAATTACAAATGAGAATAAAGACACTTGTTGAATATTTTAGATTAAAAAGTATTTTAAATATTTGTGATAGTAACTCTATGGCAGTTGCCATAGAAACGGATGTTTGGAAATGCGGGGGGAGACATCAATGCGTTTATTATCATTTTAATTCTTAATACTTGAAATGAGAATTAAACCGATCTTCGTGTTATAGAAAACGAAAATTATGTCATTATTACGATTGCTTGATCTTTTATAAACTTTTGTGTGTGTATTTTACTGATTTTACTGGATATTTCGTTTATTAATAATTTATTGTTCATCTTAAGGTTGTTAGACGACGTCAAATTTCGGTCAAGTCATAACTTTTGTGAAAATCCTGGGATCACTCTATCTCAGATGCGTATATTATTGACATAGACTGAGGAAAAATGCATTTAGCCACTGGTTTTCCAGTGGCGTAAGAAAATGAAGAAAAATAGAACCTTCATGGACGTTGATTAAAGGTGTGGCCGCCTTTTTGAGGCTCTGTTTTAAGTGTTGTCCCCCTTGATAAATTAAAAGCGTTGATAGACGTTGTCGGCTGACGTACTGTTCTTGACATTGCTACTGAAATCGGGTTATATGGAAAGATGGGGAGTATTTTGACATATGAGTAAAAAATGAAGATGAATTGGTGCGAGAGCATACCCAGGCTTTTCTTGAGAAAAAAAAAATGGAGAAAAGGGCAGCATTTTGAAGAATTACGTGTTCGAATTTGACATAAGGGTGAGATGATCTCTATAACGTGACGTGACATACCTAACTTGACGTTATGCCGAAGTCTCCCCCGGGTTTCACAACCATCCATTTTCAGAAAGCCCTTGTGACCTTATTGGTAATTGGAACGTGGTGAAATTTTCCAGTATTGTTGCATTATGACTGTATTTCATAAATATGCCTATTGTTTGCTTTTGTCAAATCATGATAAAATTTTAAAAAGAAATTCCACGAACTTTTGGATCAACCCTCGTATATTGTTTGTCAGATGGTCATGTACAGATGACTCTGTGTATCTCAACGTTGTTAGAAATTTACACCTTTTACACCTATGTTTGACTGCATGCTTAATAATTCTATAGAATTGTGTTTGTAGAGAAATCTCTGAGACGTTAACAGGTCCAGTCCAAAGTCTATTTCTACCTACGTAGCTATTTTTACCTACGTAGCTATTTTTACCTACGAGGTATTTAAACCTACCCAAAGTAGCTATTTTTACCTACTTTCTGCTTTACATGCATTTTTTGGCCAAATGCAGGAATGACGCAACATGGTGAGCACAAAACTTCTTAATACAGTCACCCCGATGATGGATATGACAAAAAATTGCCCAAAAAATGATTACTTCGTATATTATCAATTTTGCATACAAACTAATGTGAATTTGCCAATTCAAGAAGTAATCATTTTTTGGACAAAATTTTGTTGAATTCATCTTTAGTGTGACTGTATCAAATTAAAATTGTATTTACCATGTTGCGTCGTTCTGTCTGTTGGACACAAAATGCAGATAATACAGAAAGTAGATAAAAATAGTTACAGTTACTTTGGGTAGGTTTAAATACTTACGTAGCTATTAATAGCTACATAGGTAGAAATAGTCTTTGGACCGGACCTGGTTAATTGTTTAATATTAAGCTTGGGTAATATCATTGATAAATCTACGTGATTCTGCATAAATATACAAGCATTTATTTATATTGAAATCTAACATAACTCTAAAAATTTTGGAAAAAGTAGCTCAATGAATAAAAAAACACAATGAATTTAATTTAAATTGATGAATAAAATGATTTTATTTCCTATGTAGCTGTAACACAAGCTTTGATTGGTTACATAATTGGGTACAAGATTGGTTACATAATTGGGTACAAGTTTCCGTACACCCGACTTGAGCCGTGGGTAAAAAAAAAAAGTGACATCACAATGCATTAATAGTTTTTTTATGATAAAAAGCAATTAACGTGACATCACAATGCATCGTAGGGTGAAGAAAATCTTATTGATAGCTTGAAACACAGTTGATTAGACTTTGTTTAATATAAAGAATTTATTTGGGTGCATAGGAAATAATTTTTTTTATCTAGGTCCATTCAAGGGTGTACAGGGATTATCCCCGGGTTGTATTCCACACACCCTTCGGCGTCAGGGTAACTAATAGTATTCCATGATATTTTGTGGTAAAACTGCATTCAAAAGGAAACAATCCAATCCATGACATGCACAATAACTGTCAGTTGTAATTCATGCATGTGTAACTTCTGATCAGTACATTTGTTTCAATATGAACTTTAAAATCTTTTTATATTTTGATTTGAAAATGAAAATATAATGATGAATGTTGATGAAATAATAATGAAATGAACTAAATAATAAAAATGTGCATTAATTTTTATGCCCCCTTCGAAAAAGGGAGGGCATATTGCTTTGCTGCTGTCTGTTAGTTGGTCTGTGTGTCTGTAGGTCCACCATCACTTTCCATTCATTTTCTTTGCAAAGGTTCACATATTGAAATGAAATTTGGTACACATATTTATCATAAGAATATCTATATCAAGTTCTATTTTGGGTATGATCGGGCCATTTTGGACAGAGTTATGCCCCTAAAACTTAGAAAAATTCCAATTATTTGCATTTTCTGTTAATTCTCATTGCAGAGATTGCTTCAAAATATTGAAATGAAATTTGGTGAACAGAATTATCTAGGTCAATTAAGTTCTGTTTTGGGTATGATCGAGTCATTTGGACAGAGTTATGCCCCTTGGAAAAAAAATTCCAATTATTATTGGGAGGGGGGGGGAGTGTTTTATAAACATCTTTTGTTTATATCATAGATGCCAACTTTATACCCAATGCCATTGCAGTTCAAAGTTTATAGACTGTGTATTTTTGATTGTGTTGTGACAAAAAAAAAGCAAGTAACTCGTTGAAGGGTGGATGGAAAATTTTGAAAATTGAGAAAGATTTAGATAAAGAACAAAAAAAACTTTTGAATTTCATGAATAAGGCTAAAAAAATTAGATTTTGTAATAAATATAGAGGGATAGCTGAAATAGATGAGCTTAAAGTCTATTGTTATACTTTTAAAATGTTTTTATAATACTGACACAAAAGCAAAAATGAGAGGATAACAGATAAACATGAAATAGCTTTCAAAAGAGGGATTAGTTCATTTGACTAACACACCAGATTAGTCCATTCACAGCAGTGTCTACTAATCTAGGAAATTATTCACATTTAATGAATATCTATATATGCAGATATATCAGTAGCGGTATAAAAAAAATTTTGTTGACTCTCTCTCTCTACATAGAGGCTATAAATAGGGATTTTTTTGATTGAATGTAACAATATAATTTACTCATTGTGTTACATTATTTACAGGTGTTAACAAACATTTTCAAATGTTGTTCATTCATGAAAAGCTGAACAGCTCTTCCAGTAGAAAAATTTCATCAAAAGACATCTGGGATCACCTTAGTTCTATGTACGACTTACAGGCACTGGTAAGACATTACTTCTATGCATGACTTACATGTATAGGCACTGGTAAGACACTACAACTATGTATGACTTATAGGCACTGGTAAGACATTACTTCTATGCATGACTTACATGTATAGGCAATGGTAAGACACTACAACTATGTATGACTTATAGGCACTGGTAAGACATTACATTTACAACAGTTACTATGTACCTATGACTTACAGGCACTTGTAAGACATTACTTCTATGCATGACTTACATGTATAGGCAATGGTAAGACACTACAACTATGTAGGACTTACAGGCACTTGTAAGACATTACTTCTATGCATGACTTATATGTACAGGCACTGGTAAGAAAATACATATACAAGTAAATATGAGTTACAGGCAATGGTAAAAATGTTCTTGGGTTCACAGTTTAAGATTTCTATTAAGATCAAGGATTGTGAATTTGATTGTTTGAATTTTGGAATGATAAGTCATATGTTCTCCCTTGATATTTGTCTTATTGTGCGATGTTTAATTTTGTTAGCTCTTCTGAGCCAAAGGCTCAAAGAGCTAATGCTATGGCCATTTGTGCGGTGTGCGTCGTGCGGTGTGCGTTAACTTTTTAGAAAATGGGCCATAACTCAAGAACGCCTTGGCCAATCAGTGTCAAATTTGTCACAGGGTATTCTTGGTCCAAGGGCTACCATTTATACTAAAATAAGGGTTGGGACCCTTAATGACGTTCGATCCTGATATTTAAAGTCTTAAACTTTTTTTGCCAAGTATATTTTAAGTTTCTACATACATAGCTTAATTAAAATTCAAATCAAAAAATGGGGGTCAATATGCTTCTTTTGGCGCTACAGTACATTTGATATGACCTTCTTGCACTGAAATTTGTGTCTAAGTTAAAAATTACACCTTCGACGTTTTCCCTGCAATATTTTTATCCAATTAAAGCAATAAACAAAATGAACTCTAAGTCTGTTTATAAAAAGACATTTTAAAATTGTAACTAAGAAAAAGTTTCAACTTACTTCGCATAATCAATTATTTGACCTTTCTGCACTAATAAATTGTAGTTTTTCTGGCATTGAAAATTTAATAAGCAAGAAAATTATTTTAAAGTCTTAAACTTTTTCTGATTTTAAGCAAATAGGTCAAAGTTACCTTGAATATTTAGAAAAGAACATCAAAAGTGGGGGTATATGATGTTAATTTTCAGTTATTACTAAAAAAGTGTAAATTTTACGTTAAAATTGACTAAATTTTTTCCCCGGTTTTCAGAATATATTTACTATATTTGTCAAACTCTGTTGAAAGAATTCATACGAAATGATTTAATAGATATTTCGGAACCAGCATGACACATTTTGTTGCAAAAAACAGCTTTGTGTGCAACCAGCATGGAAAAATAGGAATCCAAAATATAGGGTACTGTTTTAGTTCAAAAGGGAAAAACTGATGATTTTCGTCTAAAAAACCTTCCGCCACAAAATATAGTCCCTAGTTTAATTCAACTTGAACGAATTTAATCGCGGTTTTTTCATTAAATATACTTCAATATGCATTGTAGAATTCAGATTTTATGTTAGAATTTAAAAATGATGCAGAATTTTATAAATAAAGGACATGACCAAAATCCACTAAAAAACTCAGGATCGAACGTCCTTAAATAAGGGGAGATAATCAGGAAAACAAAACCAAAAGTACTGGTTGCTAAAAAATCTTCTTCTCCAGAACCACCTGGCAGATTTTCACCAAACTTACACACAAGGATTAGAATATGTTGAAGATTAAAAATTGTTCAAGGCATGACCCTGGGGCAAAGGGCGTGGTCTCAAGGTCACTTCAAAGTTGACCTAAATTTACAATTGATAAAAACGTTTATATTTTGCTTACTATAAGGACTAGGATCATCAAATCTTGTAAGTTGATGCATCTTAAGACTTCACATCATATTAAATCAAAAGTAGATCACAGTGACCTACTTTTCTAATTTTGCGGGCATTTGTTTTCAAATTGATTTGAAGGCATATTTTGGACACTTTAAGGCCTATGATCATCAAACTTTGTTAGTTGATGCATCTTGGGTCCTTGAACAACGTCAACTTAAAAGTAGGTCACCTTGACCTACTTTTTGAACTTGATGACTTATCCTTTTTAAAACATTTAATCCCATTATTGCAGACACTGAGAGGGTTAGATTCATCAAATCTTGTAAATTGCTGCATCTTGGGACCTTAAAACATATTTATGAAAAAGAAGGTCACTGTGACCTACTTTTTGAATTTTGCAGGCATATGTTTTCATATTGTTTAAAAGGCATATTTTGATTACCTTCAGACCTATGATCATCAAACTTGGTCAGCAGATGCATCTTGGGACTTTGAAAAATGTTGACTAAAATGTAGGTCACGGTGACCTACTTTTGACATTTTATGGCATTATTTAAATATCTTCGGTATTTATTGGCTAAGAATCATCAAACTTTGTGAGTTGATGCTTGGGCTTTCGGAGAGTGACGACCAAAAAGTAGGTCACGATGACCTACTTTTGACATTTTATAGCTTTATTTAAGTATCTTAGGTATTTATAAGGTTAGAAGCATCAAACTTTGTGAGTTGATGCATCTTGGGTTTTCGGAGAGTGACAACCAAAAAGTAGGTCATGGTGACCTACTTTTGACATTTTGTACTTAGAATCATCAAACTTTGTGGGTTGATGCATCTTGGGTTTTCGGAGAGTGATGACCAAAAAGTAGGTCACGGTGACCTACTTTTGAATATCTCAGATACATATTGGCTGAGAATCATCAAACTTTGTCAGTTGATGTATTTTGGGCTTTCGAAAATCGCCTACTAAAAATTAAGTCACAGTGACCTACTTTTAACATTTTATGGCTATAATTAAGTATCTACAGTACTTATTGGCTTGAAATAATCAAACTTTGTCAGTTGATGCATTTTGGTTTTTCCAAGAATGTGGATGAAAAAGTAGGTCAAGGTGACTTACTTTTGAATATCTCACATACTTATTGGCTTAGAATCTTCAATCTTTGTCTATAGCTTTATTAAAATATCTTCAGTCATAATTGGCTAAGAATCATCAAACTTTGTCAGTTGATGCAACTTGGCTCTTAGAATACTTAGGGTTAGAGGCTTCAAATAGAAATGATAGGTTGTACAATTTATCAGAAGAGCGATTCAAGGCCCTTGGGCCTCTTGTTTGAAACAAAACCTTTTTATATAAGGTCCTCAAAGTGAAAATCTCCACTAAAATGATAGGAGTCCTGGAACATCATCAGTGTCAATGACCATTTAGAGCTTGTGTATTTAATCCTATGAAAGAATATACATGTATATGAAGGGTGAAAAAAAATCTAAGAGTACACAAAATGGTTGGGTGAAATTTTGATTTTGACAGACATATTTTATGTGTAGCAATGTTATTGATCAATAAATATAAATTTAGGATTCATTTGAATTTGGAACTGTACCCAGATTTTATTTATTTTCAGAATGAATCAGAAATAATACCATTTCCAAACAAAGAGTCTGATTTTGACCTGCCTGGAGATGATTTCAAGGTTAAAGACAGTTCCAGAGTCACCACAGAATCCTCGCAAGAAGAGAAATCCGATTCAAAGTCTGAGTCAGGTAAATGTTTACTTCTGAATCAAAGTTTAACTCAAGTAAATGTTAAATCTGAATAAGTTTAACTCAGGTAAATGTTAAATCTGAATCAAAGTTTGACTCAGGTAAATGTTAAATCTGAATCAAAGTTTGACTCAGGTAAATGTTAAATCTGAATCAAAGTTTAACTCAGGTAAATGTGAAATCTGAATCAAAGTTTGACTCAGGTAATATTAAATCTGAATCAAAGTTTAACTCATGTAAATGTTAAATCTGAATCAAAGTTTAACTCAGGTAAATGTTAAATCTGAATCAAAGTTTGACTCAGGTAAATGTTAAATCTGAATCAAAGTTTGACTCAGGTAAATGTTTACTTCTGAATCAAAGTTTAACTCAGGTAAATCAAAGTGTAATTTAGATAAATGTTTGAATCTGAATGTCTGAAATGGCTTGGTTCAAGCTCCTGATGATAGCAGATAACCTGGCAGCTAGGTGATAAATATCAATTTCTATTGAACAAACAGCTAGCCTAACCTTTAAGACTGCTAAGTCTAACATTTGGGATAAAAATATATCGCTAAAAACTTATTTTGAAGCCAGAAAAGTTTATTTCAAGCAAAAATATATACATGTATATAAATTTACATTTCATTTACTTATAATTCACATAGAAATAATTCCCTTTTTGCTTTAAATCAACGGTGCTGTGAAGTTGTAACTTAGGAGGCAATCTTCCATTGGGTATTTAGCACTAAATATTTATGCTAGCTCTCCCTATGTAGCGGCTAGGCTAGCCAGCATAGTTTCAAAAAAGCAACCACTCTTTTGAATGCACTCCTGGTAAATGTTTAAATCAGCATCAAAGTCTGGCTCATGGAAATGTTTGAATCAGAATTCTCACTCAGAATTTATGTCTTTTTCCCTCAAATTTAATGTATTGAAATTGAATATTATCATTGAATTATTAATTGTGTTACCAACTTATTGCATTATTTATTACTTTAATAGGAACAAAACATGGAAAATCGGACAAAAATGAATCCAAGCAAATTGAAAACAAACACACGAGCAATGTACTTCATGCCAACACACCAGAAAACTCCCCAAAGAGGAAACGAACGAGAAATACTCCATCAGCCAATGCCAGTCCTGCTACTCCCGATGTCCCGCCTCCAAAGCGAAGACGATAACAAATAACTGTGTTCTGACAAACGTGAAAGTGGCAGCTGAAAAGATAGACTTAATTTCATTAGTTAGGGGTTATAATCTCTTAGCATGAAGTTACATGAAGTATATAATTGTAGAGCTAACAGAGTTTCAATGCAATTTTCATCTCCCATTCCAGTTCACTAGATGTCAATTTAGGCTTTTTTATCATGATTTTCTGTTTCTCTTTTTACTGATAATGAAATTTTGCTTATTTTCTGACTTGGGGTTGTTTCTGGTAGATAACACACCAAAAGATACGTTATATGTGTACAAGAAAGAATGATGCAGTCTGTATGTACAACCCTTAATATACTGGGCAGAAAAATATCAAGATTTTTAGGAAGTCATACTTCTTGGGAATTTGATACCCCCTGTATGTAAAAGGAAAATAGTACATGTGTATTAAATGTATATTGTTGTTACATATTTCACAGGTACTGGTTATACCTTGAATTATGTTAATGTTCCAACTACAGTAAAATAAATTTATAAAAAAAAAAATTTGTGTCTCACATTTTTTAGAACCCATTTCCTAATGAAAAAGAGAACCAAACAAATGACAAGAAAAAAACAGAGCAGATAATTTACTAATGTACAGCACTTTTTCCTAAAGCGGCTCTTAGTGTTAAAGGAACATAAACACAGTTTCAAATGAAAGTAAAGCAAAATTTATGAATTTCACCATCTTTTCTTGTATGGACATGAGTCAAAATTATCAAAATTTGTGTAATGTCCAAATGTTTTTAGAGAGAGGGACTTTAAACAATAATGAATTACAACATTATTATAAACACCTCATTTTAGATGTCAGTGCATGCGCGGATCTAGAGGGGGGGTTGGGGGGAGGGTCAGGACCCCCCCTGGAATTTACCAGGTTAAAAAATGTATATACTAAAACAAGAAAAAAGTTACCATGGACCCCCCCCCCCCTGGAAAAAGCTGACCCTGCCTGGTAAATGCGAATATGTGTGAAATGGGTATGAAAAGTGAGATCTGAGGTAATAGAAGTCACCACTACCCCACTACAAAATTCCAAACTATTACTTCATTTGGCCATATCTTTTCAACAGTTGATACCGGAACTTTTGTACTTCGTATATGTATTCTTTGTGGAAAGACCTTTCATTAGATACCAACAATTTTGACCTTGACCCTGGATATTTACATACTAATGAAAAAACTTTAACCATAGCCATAACTTTTGAATGTTAAAGGCTAGTGCTTTCATACTTCACATATGTAATCCTTGTAAAAAGACCCTTCATAAAATATTAGAACTTTGACCCTTTAACTTTGGAGTTTGACCTAATTTTATAAAACAAGCCTTGGCGATAACTTTTAAAGGGACAGAGCTAGTGCTTTCATACTTTACATATTTAATCCTTGTGACATGACCTTGCATTTGATATCAAGAACACTGACCCTTTGACCATGACCTTGGAGTCTGACTTACATTTAAAAAACAAACCTCAACCATAGTTTGGAGTTTGACCTACTTTTTAAAATTTTCAACCTTGGTCATAACTGTTGAATGGTTAGGGCTAGGGCTTCCATACTTCACATAACTTTTAAACGCTAAGGGCTAGTGCTCTCATACTTCACATATGTAATCCTTGTGAGAAGGCCCTTCATTGGATAATAAGAACTTTAATCCTTTGACCTTGTAGGTTGACCTACTTTTATTTTTTTAACCTTGGCTATAACTTTTGAAGGGCTAGGACTTCACAAATGTATTCTTTGTGGCAAGTGACTTTTCATTGGATACCAAATTAAATTGACCTTTTGACCTTGGAGATTTCCATACTTATGAAAAAACTTTAACCTTGGCCATAACTTGAACGCTAAGGGTTAGTGCTCTCTGATGCCTCACACATGTAATCCTTGTGAGAAGGCCCTTCATTGGATACCAAGAACTTTGACCCTAAAATTGACAATGACCTTGGAGTCTGACTTACATTTAAAAAACAAACCTCAACCATAACTTTGAAGGGTTAGAGCTAGTGCTTTCATACTTTTCATATTTAATCCTTGTGACAGGATCTTTCATTTGATATCAAGAACTTTGACCTTGGATTTTGACCTACTTTTAAAAACTTTTAACCTTGACCATAACTATTGAAGGGTTAGGGCTGGGGCTTCCATACTTCACATATGTTTACGTGTGTGGCAAGACCTTCATTGGATACCAATTAAATTGACCTTTTGACCTTGGAGTTTTCTGCACTTATGAAAAAACTTTAACTTTGACCTACTTTCATATTTCACAATGGCATGCATTTCAAGAGAATACCCTTCTTTGGATACAAATATATCAAATTGACATATAGGGGCATCAGTGTTTCACAAACACATCTTGTATTTAATAACATTTTGCTTAAAATTCCAGGAAAGTTTCTTGATTTCTCTTTTGTCATCTTTATTCACTTTGCAACAGTGGCAATTATATTGCATTTCTGAGCAAGAATAAAAAGAACAAACTGGAAAAGGTAGGTATTTATTTTGAATATAACTCTCAACCCCCAAAAATATGTTAGTTATATTACAGAATCGACATATTTTTTCAACATGTTAAAAATTTGATGTTGATATTCAAGTATATATAATTTATAGCATGGGGTCAAATAATAGGAACATATCATTCCACCCACACTGAAATATTTACAACCCGATTTGCTGGAAGTACTAGCATCTGGCAAAACATACCAAAGAAAATAGGAGAAAAAATGTGAAACCCAGCAAATATTTGATGCTACAACATTATTGCAATTAAATTAAATGTATATGCATGATATAGAAAATGATTTGCTACAATCTGACAGTGGTTGTACATTATATGTGCATTATTTTTAGAGAAAAATTTATAAATTGTAAATTATACATCTTGATTATTGATAGAAAATTTCTCAATGATAATCACAGCTTAAATTGCATTGGTTTTAATGATGTATTATGAACAAATCACCAACATGACCACAATGGTTGGCATAAGCAAAGAACTGGCAATGAAAAAATGGTACAAAAATGACAACCCTTCACACATCAGATGCGATCAAAACCATAGCAATGGGAGATGTCAAATGCATGAGATGTGCAGTGATAACTTTGAAAAAAAAAATCAGGTATCCTTTATGGCAAGTGGCTTTTTCATGATATTACAAGCAGGAAGCAGTCATAAAGTCTTCAAAAAAAGTTACAGGAAGAAAAAATATGTTGCATACATTTCTGTAGCAGCTTTATGCCATAACTGATAAAATTTTAGAAACTTTATCATGCATTGAATAAAGATGTTTTCAACATCTGTAAAACTAAACAAAATTCAGCATAAGATAAATGTATAGTTTCTCCAGTTTTGAAATGCTGGAACATCTCTTCATATCCCCACACTTGTACACTCTGTATCCCCACACTCCTCCTCTGGACACCCCCAGAAGATGCAGTTCCCCACACAGTTATAACAGATAAGGAACACAGCAGCAATGAAGACGATGCTGCATATCGTGCAGGGTTTTCTCTCCAAGAAGAACCCTGTCAGATATAGAACCAAGAACATGGCATGATTATGAAGCAGTGCTGGATTCAGGGGTTTGGGAATAAGTAACACGGGAATCAACCACTGAAGACAATACATTTTTGTGCTTCTTTAAGTGATGATATTTGATTTCATGATGATCTTCTTTGCAATCATGGAATTTCCCTCATATTACGCATTACGCCATATTATTTACACAGCTGTGGTACAATGTCGTTTGGAATATCAATATTTCTCAAAGTAATATTTCTTAAAAAGTTATTCTTTCTACACAGTACTGTTTTTTCCGTTGTTAAATGTACGAAACAGCAATATTTTCTGTCATTTCCCAAGATAAATAAAGAATTTTCACAAAGCTGTCAAACAAGAAATCTACTTTCGGTTTATGACGCATCACTCATATTTTCGTATTTTGACGAAATTAAAATAATATCATTTATCAAAGTTTATCAAAGTTAAAAATTATTAAATTAAAAGATGTGTATTTTATTACAGCATTTAGGTGTTGAAAAGATTAATGTAACTATTAAAAATTAAAAATACGAAATCATGAGTATAGCTTTATTTGAAGAATAGGGAAGGTGAAGGACATGGGACATGATAACACGATGATGAATGAAACGTGAAATATATTTGTGAAGAGGATAAAATAAGAGAAAACATGGGGAAGAATAAACCCAAAAGTAAGTAATAGAACGTTGTAATTATTTAAAGTTTATTTAATTATGCAACCTAAATTATTTTTGATCATGTTGATTAAATCTTTTTAAAAACAAACAGACTGACAGAGCTAGACCTTACCTGCTCAATAAAATTAAATAAACCATGTGTTTCAGCAATTATCCCCGGATCTACGCGTGAAGAGTTGCTTGTAATGACAGTTACAGAAATTGTCAACCAATTAATCCAAGCTCACAAACAAGGAAAAGATGTTAACCTTAACAGGTAAATTTAGGTATTTTAAATCATGATCAAGGCAAAGGTAAAGATTCTGAATGGTAATCAACATAGTAAAACAACAAACTAATCAAAGTAAACTAACATCAACAAATACAGTGCTAACCTCAGTGAGAGATCGATTGAGACTAAAAATATTCAAATTGGACCAGCGTCCTCTTCCCGAATCTCAAACAAGTGCCTCTGAAAGTGATTCTGGAAATCTTGTCCAGGCTTTGACTGTTTCAGTGTTTGTTTCAATCAATACAAGCTGAAATGAATTCTCTGCCTGCTTTAATTTTTCACTTTACTCCCACATGACCTACTACTATGAAACTCATTTCCTACCTTTATGAGGTTTTAAATTCAACCAAAATCAAAGTTGTTGAAATGCACTGACATAAACATTAATACCTCTGAAACAGAAGTCTTTTTCAAATACTTCACAACATGGTTCATTTCTGTAGGAAATAAAAGTAGAATGAAGTTTTTGATACTCTGCCCATCCAAAATTTTTAGCCTTGAAAAAAAGCCAACACCATCAAGTGAAAATTGTCAAAAGCCAAAAGGGGGGAAATATGTATCAACTTAAATTAATATATCTGATCAACTCAATCAAGAAAAAGATGTCAACCTCAACATTAATGTCCAAAGAACAGATGAAAAATGGAATCTGCATTTATTTTCTACAATTTTGGACATCTGCTTTTGCCTTTGGTCATTGTATGAAATGCAAGTCTTGTTTCAAAGAAGTACAAACTAGTATTAGAACTGAATAATATCATGATCATCTTCTGCAATTATAGTGCTTCCTGGCTGTGACAATAAAGATTATATTGTTTAAAGGGATAAGCAACTATTGAAAGCTTTATTTATGAACATTAAAATATTCTTTGTATAATTCATGTTTCTGTCTACTTCATTGCAGTTTATATCGGTTTTGACTAGTCTATTGGTCATTAGATGGCATACCGTATAATCCCTATTAACGGCCCCTACCCCTATTAGCACCCCCTTAGGTCTTTTTCAATTGTCAGGAAATAAGGGCCCACTGTACAGTGATGAAAATCAACTAGAATCATATCAACAAATTGAAGAAAGTGAAAATGAAACTTGTCTATTATCCAATTTCTCAGTGGAAAATGAATAATTTAGTACATATGGGTGGATTATCTTCACTTTAAGTTAGACATTATTTTAGTGGTTCCTTGTATTTTTTTTTTCAAAATATTTTTTGAAGTTAAAATATGACATTAAATATCAAAAAGAGAATACAAAAATAACCGCCCCCTTTTTGCTATTATCTAGGCGCCTGGGGCGGTTACTAGGGATTATACGGTATATGGTATTTACATTACAAAATCAAATTGTAAACTAACTGCAAAGCTCAGTTTACCATTTTTGATGTCTTAGTCTTCCTCTTCTTTTTGTCACAGTAGGTTACCTTCATAAAACTTAATGTTTAAAGTAAAATGAACAAAAGTAATTCACATTGTCCTCAAAATTTATTTTTGTCAGCATGACCATTATTAACATATTGTGATTTTAAAAAATATGCCAAATCTTAAAATAGTACATACCATTTACATTATGCAAATGCTCCTTTAAAATTAAGTTTGTAAAATCTATTTCTTTAAATTAAATTCTTTACAGAATCAAAAGCAAAGTTTCCAGTAAATATGGACTATCTAGTCAGCCTCGATTGGTGGATATTATAGCAGCTGTCCCACAGGAGTACAAAAAGGTCAGCAGGACAATAAGACTTGTATATTGGTCACCTCATGATTATGGGTTTTTGCAGAATACAGAAAATTAAATTATTCCTTTATTATTTAAGATATTTTTCACTGATTGACATGATTAATCTTTTGAATCTAATGACAGAAAACATTTAATAAATGTACCTTCAACTTTAAACAATTACTTGTTCTTACCTCATGTAAACAAACATCATGGCTGCTAGATCTATGTATCAATTATTACCTCCCCTCGCTTCAAGTCACTTCTGTTACTACGGTTGTATTACTGCGCGGTAAATTTAAACTTATAAAAAGCAACACAATTTTACATCAAAAGTTATTTAATTATTTTAAAATCAAATTATTATATTGAGGGTGGTGGGTTTACGCCTTTTTTTCCGTCGGTGATTATGTGAATTTGTTATTATAAATACATGTCATTCCTTAAATCATTTGAGATATTTTTCACTGATTGACATGATTAATCTTTTGAATCTAATGACAGACATTTATTTATTCTAGATTCTTCTGCCAAAGCTGAAAGCTAAGCCTGTTCGCACAGCCAGTGGGGTAATTATCTATATAAACTTAGCTTATATTGAGGGTGGTGGGTAGGTTTTTGTTTTTGTCTATTTGTCATTATAAATACATGTGTACATGTGTACATGTGTACAAAATACAGAAGTTGGAGAATATTTGGCAGAGGTTTAGATATACTTGCATATCAGAGCACTCACCATTATTATTTTTTTTTTATCAAATTTTCAAATCATATAATTTTCTGAGGGGAAAAATGTAAATCAAAATTAAATGAATCGTGATGGGTATTCTTGAATTCTATTAAAATTATACACAATGATAGGAAAGGTACGGATGTGTTAGTTCAGTGGCATAGTAGATTAGTACAAATGAGTTGAAATTACAAACAATCATGTTCTTGATTTCAATCATTCACCTCACCACTGAGTGCCTGTTACTATGAGCATGTAAGTGGTATACCAGTATAAATAACATTTTTGAAGAAGTTTTCCCATAATATCACAAATATAATATTTTTATCAATATGCCCTGAAAAACTGCTTAATCACGCCGGATATAGTTATATTTCACCGGAAACAGTTATATTGCCCTCCTGAACACAGTTATGTTCCCTCACGTACAATCATTCTGCATATTAAATACGTCAGGTTCGAAATTCACAGAGGCAGTTGCTAAGCAAATGTAAACAGTTCCACAAAAATTAAAAAGTTGGGACAACGTCTGTGATTTGTTTGTTTGAATTCAGAGGAAATAAATGATTAAATTGTGGAGAAAAAATCCTTAAATACAACAAAGGTTATCAACACAAGTGTCAGTATACTGAATGCCATGAAACAGGATGGGATATTTCGGAATTATACTCAGCGTACATGTGTACAGCTGTGAGCATAGTGTTCAATAAATATGTTCAATGATCGATTAGGGTTCAATGTTAAAAAATATACCATATATTACATGACTTAATTCTCGGGCAGCAATACCAGAATATTTGCCCCTCGGTAACAGGAAAGCCTTCGGCATCGGGCGACATAACACTCCAGGGCTTTCCTGTTACCTTGGGGCAAATATTCTGTATGCTGCCCATGAAGCCATATAATATATGTATAATACTGTACACAAAGAAGTTTTTGCCCAATTAATTTTCACCCCTTTTGTATATGTCTCATAAGGCAAATTAAAAACAAGTGAATTCAAGGAAGACATCGTGATCTTTTTAATACAACTGTGCCTGCATGGGCAAATTTAAAGTGGGGACACGGGCAAAATCATTTCCCAGAATAACAAGACAAAAATAAGGTGGGGAAAAAATAACCATGTATATACTATACAGTAATGTTTGTTCTGTGGAATTTGTACATTGAAGAAACCTAATGAGACTGCTATGAACATGTTGCTGGTATACTGGTATATAATGTATATTCTGTTGTTTATTGTAGATAGCTGTTGTGGCTGTGATGTGTAAACCACATAGATGTCCACACATTGCCATGACAGGAAACATCTGTGTGTAAGTATTTAGCTGTAAATTTTTTATAAAAGCATATGTCTTTTTAATATATCAAGACGATTTGTAAAGCAAAGATCGGAAAAGGAAAAACCAAAAGTTTCTTAAACAGTACTTGCAAGCATTTTTCTGTAGGTATATATTGTGTGAACTGCTATTTCCCGTGTCTATAGTATATTAAGAAAGTCTGTAATCATGTATATCGCGCATATCAGACAGAATAGTAGTCTATATATTGTGTCGATTATTTGAATAATAACAAAATCCTGTCTGTCAAAATAATGGTTTATTTCCGGGTCCAAATAGAAAATATATACCGTAGTAAAAATGTTGAATTTTTTCATATAATTGGAATTAATTAATTGTTTACCCTGTTTAGCTAAGTAAATGCCTTGATTAAAGGTAATGACTCACTGAATTGAATATTGCTGAAATTAAAAAATGTTTTATTGTATTACATTATAGATGGCAAAATTAGTTTAGCTATCGAAATGAATTAAACAATTAATAAGCTTTAAAAACAGCAACAACTGTTTTGTAATTGATCCATGCACTCGCATAATTACAAAGACAGTCTACATCTAATCACAGAAAATAATAAAATTTCAATTTATCTTTATAAAACTTTTTAAAAGAATTATTCACTGTATGTTCTTAATTATATAATTAACTGATTTCCTGCTGTACAGTATGTCATTTTAATATATCAAGACAGTAAAGAAGATCAGCCAATTTATCCAGCCTGTCTATATTTGTTAATACTGTAAATGTTTTATATATTCAGGAGTATAATACGAACATTATTTGAATTTCCTGTTTGTGTAAGGTTTAGTAGATTACCGTATAAGCAGAATTTTTAGTGAGGATTTAATTTTGGCATTATCAGCGAGGGTCATGAGATTGCACAAATTGAATATTGCTAAACATTTATTGTGTTTTATTTGTACATGTAATAACTTCTTTTGTGAGCATTTTGAAATTGCTAAAATTACATCTTGTTAAATCGCTAAACTTGTGTCTCATTAAAAATTCCAAAGATATGGTATTAGTTATATATTAATGAGATACAAAATTCAGGTGGTCCAGAGATTTTGTTCCACACAGCTTATACAGGATATAGGTAATTTTTTTAGACAAATGTTCAAATATATCATCTGTTAAACATAAAAATCAGTGAATTAAGACCCTTGGCTAGTAAAGATGCACACCAGACAAACTGGACTAAAATCTTCACTGATATTGAAAAAAATTATGCAAATTACGGAGAAAAATTAAAAGCAATTACTTCTTGCTAATTATTTTCCTGATAATGGTTTTAATGATATTTACATAAACAAGAGATCCATGTGTTTACTGTAAAACTGTGTCCTAGAATACAAGCTGATTGTATGTACTGGACACTATTATACCACTAATTAAGTGAACAAATGAATAAATTACTTTAATAGATACACTTTTCACACCTATAAGGTAATCCAAGAGGACTGTCTTTTAATTTTGTACAAACTTGATTCAATTTCTAATAAAACTTGCCAGGTTTTTCTCTCTTTTAAATGCTTGTACACTTAAAAACGAAATTTTTATTTATCTAAAGGACATGCTTCTATTAGACTGTAAGATGACATCAGTGAATTAAGACCCTTGGCTAGTAAAGATGCACACCAGACAAACTGAACATTCCTTATTTTATGCAATTACTTAGTATGTAAATTAAATAAGGTGAACAGGATTAACATATTTCAGGAATATAAAATATATATCTAAAGTAATGCTTCTTGTTCAATTTTCTGATAATAAATTCCTCACTTATATGTAGGAATTTACATTAAATATATCTTCTTCTAATATCCACATGAATATTTGGCTTACCATTTACACAAGATAGATTTTCAACAAGTCAAAAGAAAATTAGGTATATTTTAGTATTGACATTGATTAATTTATACTTACTTGATCTATTGAATTGTAGCCTACTTCTATGCGAGCAATCAGAGCCAGGTACAATCCCTATTTACAGACAAGACACAGAGTGGAACAGGTACTTATTGGTTTACAATTAATTATAAAAGCAACATAAAAACTAATCTTTAAATTTCTGTCTTCAGATTTTTACATACACGTGTATGTAGATTGCAAAATCTGAAGGTGGATGCTGTTAAATCAAAAACTTCTTTATTCACATTACAATGAAGATATTTCATATTAACTGTTGTCCGTTTGCTGATATACAAGTAAATGTGTGTGCTAAATGCTTAAATTGATTTGTTCAGTAATATGAGTTGTTTCATTTTGTGTAAAATTCTTGAAGCTTCAAGCTGGTAAATTTTTTTAACAGTTAAAACAACTGGGACACAGTGTGGACAAAGTGGAGTTTATAGTGATGGGTGGCACATTCATGAGTTTGGCGGATGAATACAGGGACTACTTTATTAGGAACTTACATGACGCATTATCTGGCCATACAAGCAGCTGTGTAGATGAGGCAGTCAAGTAGGATGATGATTATGATTATGATTACATTTGTATTACATAACATTTAATCTATTTGTTTCAGGAATGGATAATGAACATTAAGAATGAAAGTTTGCATTTACAATTAGCTTGATTCTAATTTCAGATATTCAGAGAAAAGTATGACAAAATGCATTGGTATAACCATAGAAACTCGTCCAGACTATTGTCTTCGTAAACACATCAGGTAGTATCATAATGCATCATTTTTATAAACAGTGTTTGAGTTTCACATGTAGAAATATACATACATGTATATATTTCTTCACTTTGATGATTTATCTTTTTCCTTTACGGTTCTTATTAACTTTGTACGACATAATTTTTTTTGGTTTTAGTGACATGCTTCGTTATGGTTGTACGAGATTAGAGATAGGAGTTCAGAGTGTGTATGAAGATGTAGCCAGAGACACAAACAGGTAAACAAAACTTGGCTATAAAAAAAAGGAATTAGTCTATAAGTGGCAGAAAACAGAATATCTATAGATAAAGTTGATGATATGAAATATTTCAAACATTACTCCATTTGGGCATTTCATACAAGAGATTTCAATTGCAAATAGAACCACATAGTCATTTAGTAGTTAACAGTATATTGGCTCTTGTATCTGAAATATTAATGCATGCATTACAGAAAAGATCCTAAGTGTTGTGTTTTATCTTATAGAGGCCACACAGTAAAAGCAGTAACAGAGTCTTTCCAGATGGCTAAAGATGCTGGATTTAAAGTGGTAGCTCATATGATGCCTGACCTTCCTAATGTGGGCTGGGAGAGGGATGTGGAACAGTTCATTGTAAGTCAACTGAGAAAAAAAATATAGGAGGTTATAATGAGTTTTGGAAAGCAGAGTTAATGAGAGTATTGCTATTGCTTTCTGAAAAGATTTGTAGAGTTATTCTGATATTCGTGATTAACATACATGTACCATGTATCATTACTGAGAAAGTAAAATGAGTTGTAAATAATTGAATAATTCACTAATGATCACAAGTTTGCTTGATTTTAGCTGTGTAAAATTTTATCTATGACTTCTAAAGAAAGTTGTTGTCACAAGCTAAATGTTATATAGAATGGTGTAAATTTAAGTAAAAAATCACATGAATTTAATTTCCTCCAGGAGTTCTTTGAAAATCCTGCATTCCGAGCAGATGGTCTCAAAATTTACCCTACCCTAGTCATCAGAGGGACTGGTATGCTCATTGTAATGATAGCATCCTATTTGTTGATCAAATTGAATTTTTGTTTTTCCAAGTTCTAAAACGTTTGTCAAGCAAACCTTTTGGTTTTATATACTTCAGGTTTATATGAATTATGGAAAACTGGTCGCTACAAGAGTTATCCCCCTAGTGGTTTGATAGATTTGATTGCCAGAATTCTAGCTCTGGTTCCACCATGGACCCGGGTTTATAGAGTTCAGAGGTAAGTCATTCTCAATGATTAATGCCAAAAAAAAAGAAACAATGGAAGGAAAAATGAAACTAAATCTAATTTAATTTAGAAATTAAAAAAAAGTAAAACTAATAAGTACAAGTTAATACATTTTTGTGTGTGTTCTTATGATATGAAATACTTTGTAAATAGTGGAGGTTTTGCTGATTTCAGAGATATTCCTATGCCATTAGTAAGTTCTGGGGTAGAACATGGAAATTTACGAGAGCTTGCTTTGGCTCGCATGAAAGATCTGGGGACAAGTAGTCGTGACGTCAGAACACGAGAAGTGGGGATTCAGGAAATTCACAACAAAGTCAGGCCATATGAGGTGAGATTGTCAGTTTCTTTCTTTTTGGCTAGCAATCATAAACTTAATGTCTGTAATACACTTTTCCTGATTGTGGTTATAAATTCAAAAAGACTGAGTTTGGAGTCTTGCACAATTATGACCAACCAACATTAGATATGATAAGTGACTTGTAAAAATGTATGATCTTTTGAAATGTTGTTAATAGTAACATGAGTTATAAGGTTTCTTGTTGAAGTTCCTCTACCAGTTCAGAAATTGTACTGAAATATTAACAAAAATGTAAATCGTAGGCGGAGTTAATCAGAAGAGATTATTGTGCTAACGGCGGCTGGGAGACATTTTTATCGTACGAGGATCCAGAGCAGGACATTTTGATTGGGTTACTGAGATTACGCAAGTGTTCCCCTGACACGTTTAGACCAGAACTCCGATCTGGCTGCTCCATCGTTAGAGAGCTCCACGTCTACGGCAGTGTGGTACCAGTCCATGCCAGGGATCCCACCAAATTCCAGCATCAGGTAAAGTTACAGTAAAACTCGTTTCAAGCGATATCCAATATTGCGAATTCACAGATATAGCGAAGTTATCTTGGATCCCCAGCTATATAAATATAACAAATTCCTTATACGGATATAACAAATTACGGATATAGCGAAGCAATTTCATAGGTGACTTCGTTATAAACAAGTTTTACTGTAAACAAGTGGAATGCAATAAAATTGAGAAAACTTGATAAACAGTTGTAAACTTCTCTTTAAAAAAATATTTCACCAGTTGATAAAGGGTAGGGATTAGTTATTGCAGAAAAATAGGGTTCATTTTCATGAGAATTTCCACTTCCATTTCGACCTTTCAACATAAAGATGAATTATTTCTTTTCTAAAAATTTCAGTTTTGTTATGAAATTCCAGAGCTTTGAATCCATCATACTAAAACTTGTTTGCAGGGTTTTGGTATGTTACTTATGGAAGAAGCAGAAAGAATAGCCAGAGAGGAACATGGTTCCTCCAAAATAGCTGTAATATCTGGTAGGTTAATGATCTCTAACGGTGAATAGAGAATTTCAGTATTGGTGTATTAATAAACAAAAGTTTGATGAACTGAATGATTTTTATATAAAAAAAAAAACAAAAAACTAAACCTGAAAAATTTAATAGAAAAATATATTAGATTTAGTAGATCTCTTAGGTTAATTACTTTCAACAAAAACCTTGCAAAAGAGGTTGTTTATGCAAGAATACACAAATGGTTTGAGATTCATTAATGTGCATGTGCATGTGCATATATTATAAATACTCTGTATTAAAAATAGTTCTGTATCTACCACAACTGGTGTAAGTTACATGTAAATTGTATGTACAGCTAAGTGTACAATCTCTGCTATAGTTCTGTATCTATCACAACTTCACAAGTGAATTTATTTACATGCTCTTTAGTGTACATAATAAAATCATCTCCTCTCTCTCTATTGTAGGGGTTGGAACAAGGAATTACTACAGAAAGATTGGATATGAACTGGATGGGCCATACATGTCTAAATCACTTGTCTAAATAAACCATGAAATTATTTGTAATTTTTCAGTTTGTACAAAGAAATACCTGTATCTCTGAAAATACTGAATATAAACAGATACATTCAGAAAAAAAGTAATTTTAAATTCTCCTTACACCCTCAAGGAAAAAAAAAATTAAATTAAGATTCATATAGAGTTCAGGTATGTCAATGAGGGAGTCAGCAAGAATCCAGTTCCCCTTGAGGAAGTGCGGGGACCAATTTGGTCATATATGGTTGAATTTGCTGTCTCAAATACATGTACAATATTGAGAATCTCATGGATATTTTTAAGCGATTGTGAGGTCCAAATCCCATATTCTCAAAGTATTTTTGAGATGCTACGGACACGTGTATCTTAAATTCTCAAGTATCTGAAGTTCTTTCCTCAGTCCGACTGTATTCAAGAAAACCTTAGATTTGACTTTTTTGTCTGTTAATGTTCTTAATGTGTCGCCTGTTGTTCATTTGAAACTATAAATGTTATTACAATGAGTAAACCAACATCCTTTCTCAGTAAATTATGCTACATTATGAAATTAATAATTTGCCATTCTTTGGATCCTTTATAGGGTTTTTACAGTATCTTTAGTTGAGCATAAAGACCATTAAATCTAGAGTTTATCCCACCCAGTACAAACATTTGCTGCAACAAGAGATGTTTGTAAAACACTTATGCCCCCCTCCCCCAAGAATTTTTCTAAGTCCAAGGGACATAACTGTCAAAAATGGCTGGTACCCATAGCAGAACTTGACTGATATTCAATGGATAAATCTGTGTATAAAATTTCATTTCAATATATGCAACCTCTGCAAAGAGAATGAATGGAAACTGCAAATAATTGGAAATTTTTGGAAGTCCAATGGACATTCATTGTCTCAAGCCACCGTTCGGAGTCCGCATATAGCTCTCTCCTACCCGTGGCTGCTCACAAAAAGTGTCATAATCTTGAATATTTACGCCTCTCTGTTGTGACATCATATTCACTCAGTGGCAAGTTTTGTTTCCATCGCAATTGAAATCAACAACTGACGTCAACAGTATACAATAAATATTTCCTATACTGTGATTGGACATTGAAAGGTTGCGATAAAGTTCATTATCCGACTATGCTTTACTCGCATTGGTCAATTTTTTGATGAACTACGAAGAAATCTCCCCTCGTTCAACCACGGCCAGCGTGGGAGAGGATCGTACATTTTGGCCGTGGTTTGCACCGAGGAGGGACATTACTCTGTTAAAAATGGTCTGATAATACTCAAAACAGAACTTGAGCTAGATATTCTTAAGATTAATCTGTATACCAAATTTCACTCCAATATGTGCAACCTTTGCAAAAAAAATAAAAAATAAACCAAAACTGCAAATAATTGGTATTTTTCCGAGTCAAAGGGGCATAACTCTGTCCAAAATGGTAAGATCATACCCAAAATAGAACTTGACCTAGATATTCTCTTGATAAACCGACCTGTATACCAAATTTTATTTCAGTACCAGGGTATGTGCAACCTCTGTGAAGAAAATGAATGGATGGTGGACTGACAGACAGCAGCAAATTAAAGGAATATATCCTTTCTTCAAAGATGGCATAAATATCTCCCATTTTATAATTATCTACACGTTCTTCAAAGTCATTCAACTATATACAACTGGTTGCCCATGGTGGTCAGGCAGTTTAAAGATTTTCAGTTCATATTACAGTGTATTACTCATTCAGAAAATTGTCTGATCAATATCTTGGAAACCCTTTGCTGTACTTCATCTGTAGACCGACTTATCATAAGTACAGTAGATAACTTATATCAGATAATACATTGCTTTTGATTGATCAAATAATCTTGCTAGTGATAAAAATGATCCAACTCACACCACCTTATTAATATGGATTTGTAAATTTGCAACATAATTTTATAGCCCAATGAGAGATTTTGGAAATTTTTAAGTTCTTTAAACTTAAGATTAAATTTCAGCATTAACTGAGTCGGACAGTATTTTTTTTTTATTCCAAAAAATTTGAAATTCTATCTCAATATAACAACAAATGCATCTTCTGCAACGGTCTTTATTAACATTAATTTAATACAATAAATAATCTTATGGGCTTATGAGAGAGTGAGGGGGTCATTTTGCTGCAAAACATTTTCAAACTTCTATTTCAAACTTAGAAGTTAGAATATATTGAATATTGTAATTTGTAAAATCTAAAATTATAATATATATAGTTCACATCAAACAAATGCATAAAAAAAATTCTCAGCAGAAATGAAAAAATGGATTAACTGGCTGACTTTACAAATGACTCATTGAAAATTGCATTTTCCATGACATCTACAATGTATTTAATGTAGGATCTACAATTTACAATGCAGGATCTACAATGTATTTCGGTAATCCTAAATAGGACAATGCAACCTATCAAATGATCTACCTGAGCCAATAACTTTGTATAACTTCTCAACATACAAGGAACACATACATTAAATTTAAACATGATTAAAAACAATCATTAATGAGTTTTTCTTTTTCAAAATGAATGAACAGACTTTTCTTTAGTGACACTTGGAAAATATCAGCTTTACATTTTGACTGTGTACCAGTATACCAATAACAAAGGACCATAGTATATGGTCTTACTCATGTAATCAAGGACATGTTTAAGAAAAGCTTTAAACAGCTTAAAACAATCTCAACCACTTAAACACGAAATTAACTTTTATCAAGAAATATTCATTGAAAGACTGCACAAATGCAACTAAAATGCATATTGTTGAAAATGCAGCACTAAAATGACTGTGAAAGGTTCCCATAAAATAATGAACACACATTTGTCAAGCTTGCCCTTGTGTATCTAACAACCTTTCACACATTAGTTAAAAAACACCAGATTAGATCTGGAGTTATAAAATATGTAGATTAGATATGAAACTCAGTCTTTGCTTGAGTAGACCAGGAGATCCTTTAAAACAGTAATCCTGTATTTGTCCAGTGCTAGGATCCGTCCTGTCCATCTGTGTGGTCGCCCTCCGTCTGTTGTATATACACTTGCTGTCCATTTGGTAACTGTTGTATCTGATAAACACCCTGTCAACAATAAAAATACAATGCCTTCTAATAACTGTAGATTTAGATATTTTTTTATACGTAAAGTCACTACAGTGTATTTCTTTCAAAATTGTGGAACCCCTTTGCATCCAATCTGTCAAAAATGAGAGGTTCACGGGCCACAAGGCTCACATAAGTAACTTTGGCCTTGCTGTTCTCCACCAGATTTTTTTTCTTTTTACTCTTGTAGAACCTAATGTTGCCACGTCCTAAACATCCCCCCCCCCCCCCCCCCGAACATGATTTGAACAATTTAAATCCACACTACTGCAAGATGCTTTCACATAAGTTTCAGCTTTTCTGGCCCAGTGGTTTGTGGGAAGATTTTTTTTATATACTAGTACATGTATTTCAGTGTACAATTTTGATTCCCTGTTATGACTCCACCCTACTCCAAGGGGTCAAAAATTGAACAATTAATAATCTACATTATTCCAGGATGCTTCATATAACACATATGTTTCAGCTTTTCTTTTTAAAGAGTTTTACCTATACATTGTCTATTTCTCTATTTTTGTGGACACTTGGTACTTTCATTTTCTATAATAAAATTTGAGAATCCACATATTGGAAAACAGGTTTGAGAAATTGCAATGTTCTTGAAATTTGCTGAAAACATGCGTATTTGACTACCTTCAGCAAAGAATTAAAATATGAGCACAGCCCACGATCCAAAAAATAAAACATGTTTTTCCCTGACTTTCAAAAGAATTTAAAGGATGTGGCCCCATCCTACCCCCAGGGAACATGTTTTGGACAATTTAGAATCTACACTACCAAAGGATGCTTCCACATAAGTTTCAGCTTTTCTGGTGCAGTAGTTTTTGAGAAGAAGATTTTTAAAGATTTTTTCAATGTAAAACTTGGATTTCCTATTGTTGCCCCGCCCTACCCCAGGGGACATGATTTGAAGAATCTTTAACAACACCATCCTTTCTTTTTCTTTTATTAATCATCTCCCTTGTAAGGGGGCTTGGCCCTTCATTTTAAAAATTTAAACTCTTCTTCACAAAAGGATGCTTTGTACCAGCTTTGGTTAAAACTGACAAGTTGGTTCTTGAGAACAAGTTGAAAATCAAAAATTTACCACGGGACGGATGAAAGACAACAAGTGATCAGAAAAGCTCACTTCAGCTTTCAGCTCAGGTGAGCTAACAAGAGACCCATGGATCACAATATTCCTTGAATAGCATTAGCCCTGCTGTTCTTAAGCTTTTTACAAGAGAAATCTTTCATGTAAATTTGTGACCCAATATTAAACAAATCCACGTTACAAGGGGATTCTTCATTATCAATATGAGTAACATTGCTTCATGAAATATTTAGTCTATCCTTAAGATAACTTGGACTATTTCTGTGGTTTTTGTACCTGTCCAAACTGGGACTGGTCTGCCTGTGTGACTGTCTGTATCGTCTGGACAGCTGGCTGCTCTGAGGACTGGATGATGATGGGCTGATTTCCCTGCTTTCCTTGTAGCTGCATCTGAATGGCTTGTAACTGGGCTGGTGTCAGCTGAATCTACAACACACAGTTATCATCAGATTGCATGTGTCTTAGTGACCAACTAGGAGATCCTCATCTACTATATGTAGTACAAATTATTATACTACATTCAAATCATTTACATGTAAATAAAAATAGCTATGTTCTAAACAATTTGCATCTTAATATTTATACTGTGTTCAAACTTTTTCAAGAAAATAATTACTATTCCAAACATTAAAATGTAAATATTATTCCAATCATTTCCATATAATTTTTGTATGCTATAATAATGATGTAAATAATCATACCATTACATGTGAACAGGGTACCAAGTATTAATGAAGAAATAAATGACAAATTTCAAAAACTTCACTGAACTAGAATATGTACTGTTTCACTTCATTTCCTAGTAAAGTTGTTCAACTTATTTATGTCACAAGTGGTGAAAAGTCAAAACCGATACTCAAACTCAGGGCCTCTGGCATACCGTGCTAGCGCTCTAACCAATTGAGCTATTGAGACCCGGTATATTGACTGACTTTCATGCACCTGTGAACCTGGTGACATATCCCCCCTCTTTGTAGAAATTTGTCTTCGAATTTTATGAGTTAAGGAAATGTGTGAAGCATATTCCAAGGGAACAGTGGGTTTTCTACATTGGGTACCAAATGTCAAAGGTGGGGAAAAGTCAAGTCTCAATCGGGACTCGAACCCAGGGCCTCTGGCGTACCGTGCCAGCGCTCTATCCAGTTGAGCTATTGAGACCTGTTATATTGACTGACTTCACGCAGAGAATCCTGTGAACCCGATGACATTAATCTTATTTAATATACAGTGAAATCAATAATTTTGTTGGGGTTTAATATCCGTCAATTTCGTAGTACGGAGAGAACAACAAATTTAAACCACCCTTGAAATGTTTAACATTTGGTACTACAGTACTGTGGTTCTCCTTTAACCATGAATTTAAATCCCATAGAATCGGTAATTTTTCCTTAAACTACAAAAATCTGACCCCTCAAAAATAAGTGATTTTACAGTATACATTTGAGAAAGACAATTGTCTATGAATATTGCACTAATTGCTCATCATAGATTTGGACCAAAATGTGCCAGGTAATTAGGTAAGAGGTAACACATATTTATCAGCTATGTTTAAATTTGATATTTAGAACATGATTTAATGCAACTCATTTTGAAATTCACACTTCAGTTTCTTTTACAAATTAAGATTTGGCTCAAAATGTTTAAAAATCATGTCAATACAAAAATAATTTCTCATCTTGGAATGTATTCTGTTGACAACTGATAAGCAAAATATCAATGTTACTTATAACAGCAACATTATGTTTCCTACTGTAAGAGTGCTGTCCATAAAGTTAAAGGACTATGGCGTTAGGAATCAGGCTGCGAGTCTTGTACATGTAAATATACAAAGTATTTATGCCAAAATCACTTGTAAAATAGTGCATTGCTCTGACTTTTTTACATTTACTTATCAGGGTCTATATATAATGAATTTAATCAAATGGTAGTGTAATTACACAAAATTCCAGCAAACCGATATTTTTTCCTCCATTGAAACACAACTAAAATATTAAAGGTAGGTGTTTTTTCACAGCATTATGAATTTTGGCTTTATGTCAGACTGGGTCATGCATCTTGTAAATCTACTTAATGTTTATGCTGATAATATTAATTTCTAATCTACATTCATCTAATTTTTATGCATTTAAGTGATATATTTTTTATCATAATTGCACATATTAGGCAAGGTCTTGAATGCAAACAAAAAAATAGCATGTACATGTATCTACTTTTTTTGACAACCCTTGCATATGCCGTAGTATGGAGCTTAACTGACATTTCAAACTTAATCAATATTTCTAATTTGGATATGCTTCCAAATTTTCTGCTCCTATAGAATTATACAGGGGTAAGATGCACTATGCCATACACCCCTTTACATCTCAAGTCTCAACTAGTATAATGCTTCTGGTCCCTAAAGCTACATAATCTTCTTGCACTGTGTATTTTTAATTGTGTTGTCTTTATTATTCAGTGCAACTGACATGAAACTATCAACAAACAACAGTGTACAGGAAAAGAAATAAACTAAATTATAAGTCAAAAAACTTTTATTTGAATTTTTATTTCAAGTCTGGTTCTTAATGTCACATTGCAACTTTAATGCAAGAACACATAGACAGAATGTTACTCGGTTTCCTTGGAGTCTTGCATTGTTGGAATAGTTATTAACTTGATATTATACATTTAATACATGTATATATGGGCAATGACCTTTATTTATTTATGTATGTTCAGTGAAATGCTTTTTGTGAAAACTGATCCATTTTCAATATTTCACGTTTTTGTACTTTCATTCTTTACTTAAACTAATTTTCTTTATTTCAGATATTCTTCAGACATGTTTCTGCATAGATAACACATATACCTGGTCTAGACTTGTGTTTCCACAGAACACTGGTTATTATGTTATCTTTATTGTCAATCATGTTTGGCCAACACAAGAAGTACTGTCCTTAACATATACAGACACATAAGATTCAAATAACATAAATTCCGTCTCTTAAGGTCAGAAAAGACGTTCCTCTGTATCTGTTTTGTATATCTTCGTGATGTGTGAAAAATATTCAAAATTTTAATTACATTCTGATTTCTAAACCAGTTTCTTAATGTCTTTAAAAAAATCCAAGCACTAAAAAATTTGAAATAGAAAAATTATTTTTCTTCCCAAAAGGATTATATAAGAAAAGCTACCCCCTGGTATCTTGCACAAATGCCTGGTAAGGTACCTCAATTTTTTGTGAGTAAACATGTATAAATAGCAAAACTTCAATTACAGAATCTTGGAAAAATTTATATAATGTATTATCAAGGAATGTATCGTCTGTCCTTAAAGCTTCTTGTATATGTTTTATGTTGGCTTTAATTTTCATTTTATTTTATTTATATGTAAATTTAGAAACATTTCAAAAACCAATTTTTGTGTTTTGATACCCCCATGAAATATGATCAATCAGGAGGAATTGTCTGAAATATCTCTTATTCACGATCATATATTAACGTTCTTTAAAATGGTTGAAGTTGCGAAGCACACAAAATCTGCTTAAATATACTTTGTCTAAGATAAAATAAAATTTATTCAAAGTCGGTTAGGCCAAAAAAAAAATAAAAAATAGTTTCTCAGGCACCGCCGCATCAGTTCAAAAACGGCCACATTGATCAATTTTATTGACATAATGAAAAGGGAAATAACTCTATTTTCTATTTTTGCAAGTTGAAAAAGAAAATCGAGTTATTCCCCTTTTCATAAATGCTAAGAAAAACGTTTTTATTAGAAAAACAGTACATTTCTTCTAAATCTAAAGTATTTTATCAGTTAACTTTTAAATAAATGTTTGGAATAACATTATTTAACCTTGAATACATATCATAACTAATTTCAGAGAACAAACTTAAGAATTAGTAGATACATGTATTATCATTTTACTGCACAAACGACTTGCAAAAAAAATGTGTAAAATCACATTGAATCTGTAATTATTTTCAACAAAAAACATTTGTTTATTTTAGGAGGGTGGAAGACATCAAGTGATTTGGCCCTGAATATACTCTTTATATTGAATAATAATAAAATAATATTTACATTTTATTTCAAAGTACCAAAGATCAAGCAATTTTAAAAATAGTTAGTGGGAAGCTATTTTAATTCATGTGTCAGTATACCCATGAAACTCTGCAGGTTTTAAAATACAGTGCATCATATACATGTAAAAGATCAAAATTTCTACTGGCTCAAGGATAACCATTTGATACACTTTAAATCCTTGTGTCAATTCACCCATGGAAATTTGTAGCTGTCTGATTGCCACCTAAACTCATGGTTTACACAGCTAGATCAGTATTTCTTAGGACAGCGGCATCACAGTGATCTATGATCTACCTGACTTGATTTGGACTTGGTCAGATTTATTTTGCTGAGGGAGCTACCTGACCCAATCAATATTTCCTTGGGTAGAGTAAACTTACAGGGACGTTTTGGACTCCGTTGGGTGTGATGACCTGTTGATACACTTGTGTCTGTTGTTGGGGTTGCTGAATTTGAACTTGTTGCACTTGAGCTTGGCTTGTCTGTATTTGTTGATGAGGAGCTTGGATTTGTATCACCTGAGGCTGTGCTACCTGAAATTGTGAATACTTTTCCTTTTAATCTGGTTAAGGTATGTTTACAGGTGATTACTCTAGACAAATTTAATATTTACATCATAATATTTATAAATCTTGTAATTTATATCAGGATGAGGTACCATAGAAAAACTTCAGAATTACAAAAATGCATTGAAATGTTAAAACCTACCACTGGATTTGGAGCAGACACAGGCTGATGGATCTGGAAGGGCTGCTGAATAATCTGACCTCCTGGAACATTGAAAATAAACATTTAATGCCTCAAATGACCAAGACTATCCAGATAGTGACCTTATAAATTAATTTTCAATTCTTTACAAAATACAAGTGAATCTGATCCTCAAAAAAACAGAATTGAATTTGTTAAAAAATGTACCAGGCAGTTGAATCTGTGTTGCTTGGGGTTGCTGTTGTGTGATTTGTGTCTGGACAGGTTGTGTCTGTTGCACTGTTTGTTGCGGTGTGGCTGTCTGCTGGACTGGTTGCTGCTGCTGTTGCTGTTGTTGTTGCTGCTGCTGCTGTTGCTGAGCCTGTTGACTGGCAAGTTGAAGATAATACTGTATCTGATCTGGCAGCATTGAGGTACTTCTTGTACTGTCATCCTGTTCATATAGAGAGAAGATATGACAGTAAATCAGGGCATATGCATTAAACCTGCATGTCGTAACATTTGTAATGACTTTACATAGCATACTGATTTTAAAACAGTAGTTTACCTGTCTCTTTGCAGGTTTGAGTTCATCTCTTGGTACTATGTCAATGAGGAAATCAAACTGGTCGAATTTGGTAATGGCCATGGCAATATCATTTCTCTGCAAAATGCAGTCATATATGCACAAATGGACATTCAGTGTTAAAAATAGGTAAGAGTCATTTCAATTTCTAACATATTTTTTTTTTCTATTTTATTTTTAGTATATGTTGTGGTAAACAAACAAATTATTATAACAAGCTACTTAATGTGTGAACAAAAATTAAATGTATGCAGAACAAAAAGTTTATTTCTTTAAGACACTTCCAAATTCTATTTTAAGAATACCTGTAGCGTTCTCCTCTTGTTGTCCTCTGTGTGGATCCAGGCTCTGAGAGACAGCTCACTTATAAAGATTTCAGCAGCCTTGGCAAATAACACTGGTGCTTCTGCACTGATCATCTACAGAAACAAAAGCCATAAGTATGATAGGGAATCAATGAAAATGTGCATACTGCTAGTTAAGTTCATACAAATTGATAAAATAAAGAAATATAGTGCAACTTTACCTTGAACACATTTAAATGAAATTAAAATGTCTTGTACAAGGTTATAAAAATGTAAACTTTTTTAATCTATTACTATCTTCACTAGCCAAGGGTTTACGACCCACTCCACTCTAGACGTCAACCCTACTCTAGCAAAGAGTATATACCCACCTTCACATCCTCATCAAGTTTCATTATTTTCTTAATTCTGGCCAAGGGTAACTCTTGTTGCTTAAAATCATCCTGAAATATTTAAAATCATTACTGCAGAGAACATGTATCATCATCAGCGTAATCAAATACTGTAATTTGTACTGCGTGTGATTTATAATGAGTATGTATAAAAGGAAAAATATGAAGTGGTCCAATCATTAGATATAAAACACATCAAAAAATAGTTGAAAATTGTCATTCTACAATCAGTTAGCTTTTTAATAGGCTTTATCATCCTTAAATTAAATGATTTTATCTAAAATGCCACCGATGAACTGACAAGTCACAACCACATTATTTTTACATCACATGGCCTAAATACAATATGTACAGTGAATAGCTACCTGCTTAAGACCTCTAATGTTGCTGATTGTCTTGGGCCAGAATTGCTGGAGCATCATGTTTGCCTCCCCACTGATAGTAACTCCCCCTGAGGGAGAGGATCCACCTGGGGTGTAGTTAGGATCAGACATTCCTCAAAACCTAAAAATATACAATAAACTTTTTTTCACTCTGATTGTTTATTTAAATTAATATACAACAGAGTTATTACATTCCAACAACTAAAATAAAATGATACTAACCATACTTATTAAGTGTATAATGTCTAAAGACACACTTTTCAACAGTGCTTAAATCTTTTAAAACAAATTATTTTTATACTATCATTTTTCAATTAAACTATTGTGTGACATTTTATAGTTTTGTAAATTGCAACAGAGTAAAACTACTGGCTGGCCATCTACAATACGATTGATTGTGGCATTTGGACCAATAATTTGGTCAGAATTTACATACCCAATCAACACATGAACCAATGACCTACCCACCAATGAGAGTGAAGAACTATCTAGTCCAAATACAGGTGCGCGAACACTGGAAATGGGATTAAAAAGATGACTTTTGAGAATAACTGGCACTTATTAACAAAAGTTTTATATTATTTTTCAGAGGATTAGAATAGAAAACATAAATATTGTTTTGTTTCCTTCTTTATGGGAAGAGAAAAATGGCGGATTCTGATTGGAGAAGTAGTGCGCATGCGTCACATACATAAACGGAGCACACAGTTTCCGGTAGTTCTGTAAGATGAAAAAATGCAGGTAGGCCCCTAAATGTGAAATGAGATCGATGAATTTACAAAGTTGAATTTGTTAAGTGTAAATGCATTTATTCATATGAATTCGAAAATATATTTTCTGTCAAACTATTCAAGACGGGTCTTCAAGACAATCAATGACGCGACATAATGGAAGATCCGAGTCTGACTCTGACAGGTCTAGCACAATACCCTGATAAAGGTACCTTGATCAAGGTATTTTATGTAATGAAAATTCAAAAAAAAATCTTTAAAAATTAGATACTGAAAGTCGAGTTCTGAGTTGTTGTCAGTACATTCACTCATGCATGTAAAGTACTCAAACACAAAGAAATCAGTATAAAAGCATGTCCTGTGAGGAGACGTTCTTTTGTGCTTTCTTTTCCATACCAGGTGCTTTTCATGCACGAGTGGACACACTGACAACAACTCAGAATTCGACTTTCAGTATCTAATTTTTAAAGAATTTTTAAAAAAATTTTCATTACATAAAATACCTTGATCAAGGTATTTGTAATACCTTGATAAAGCTATATAGTTTTATCAAGCTATATACCTTTATCAGGGTGTTGTGCTGGACCTGTCTGAATCAACATGAATACTTCAATAGCTTGATATATTGAAAATATTAATATAGAATGATTTGGGATGGATATTATATGGTTGTCCGTCCAATTTTTTACCAGTCAACTTAAGATTCGTAACTGGATGCCAAGTCGACTGTTTATTAAAATAAATATAAAATAAAAATGTTTAAAAAGCACACTATTCAGATTTCAATAACATTTTATGCATTCTAAATTTCAGAAAGAAGAAAAACAACTGGAACAAACTGTGGAATCTCTTATCCAGAGGGTCCAAGATATAAAGAATTCCATTGCAAATTTTCTATTGAAACTGGAAAATGAATACAACACTTTACATTGGTATGAAACATGTTTTAAAAGAGATTGATACATTTCATTTGTAATGGTTTGGATATTGGCCCGGGTAGCCTAGTGTTAGAGCACCTGACTAGTGATGCAAGGGTCCCGGGTTGAATGGTCTAGCCATACATTTTCTCCTTTCCTGTTACAGACTTGTTATTGCTGACCACCCCTGAAATTTCAGGTGAAAGTCCTGCCAGGGTACTTTAATAATGTGGAGGTCAGTCGGGCTTGATCGCCGTTGGCCAGATAGTTCAGTCTGTAGAGCACTGGTGATTCAGGGGGCCTGGGTTTGAATCCCAGTGTGCTTTGCTTGATTTTTCTCCTCTCCCATTACAATAAGCACTAAGGCCAATAAAGGCTAATAAGAACTTGGGTTGTGTCTTAGAGGGTAAAGACAATTCAAGTAGGGAGGAATGCAATGGTTTGGGTCATAGATACTTGCCTGGATAGCTCAGTCAGTAGAGAACCTGACTAGTGATGAAGGGACCCTGGATGGATTTTTGGTCCAGATATTCATTTTCTCCTTTCCTGTTACACATTATACTCATATATTTATAAGCTTAACTTATGAAATTGAATGTACTTGTATTATTGCAACTTTGGAATTAAATGCTAATCTTTTTATATTGCTTTTTAAATAGGCCCACAATGCTTGATAACTTTGCTCTTCTGTCGGGGCAGCTGAATACTCTTGGGAAACTTCTCAGAAATGAAAAAGTTCCACCTTTGAGAAATTCTGTGCTTCTCCCAATAGCTTTATCTGGTGACAGAGACCAAGAGCTAGAGGTGAGTGGAGTTAGTTATTTTATGTAATAAATGTATTCATTGTGATCATCTTTGAAAAAAAAATGTTTGCTTCTCTCTCCTGACAGACTGGCCAAAATGACACAACTGCTTTCACAAAACATGTCTGGTTTTGTTCATCTCACAACACCCTGAAAATTAAAAGTTCTTTACCAAGATAAGATAGCTAGATGAAAAGTTAATTAAATTAGTATAAAACATGCAGAACAGCAATAAACATTGCTGAAATACTGTATCTGATAGTGACACTTAAGATTGTCTCCTCAGAAAATATAAGTCAAAAGAACTGCAGCAGCTGATAATACAGATCATGACAGATATCTAGATCTATACTGTAGATTCCCTTTTTTTCGCGAGTACTTGTTATTGCGAATGAGCTCTTCAACGTCAAATTGTGAGATTAATAATTCGCGTATGGAAGGTTGGTTAAGAGATTTTACATAGATTTCAGCACCATAAAAATAAAGGCGAGTAATTTTATTTCGCTTGTGGTGCTTCTGGCGAAATTGCGCGATAATTAATTCCATGCGTACATTTAGGATTCTACAGTAATCATAGACAATATTCCATCTTTAGGATAAAAACATTAATTCATACAGAGCGTTCTGTAAACCTATGATATCTAAACTAACAGATAAGCTGATAGCTACACACAACCCAGATCATTTTGAATTGAGTAGCATAGACAGTTTACTTTGTTCAGCAACATATAATGTCTAAGGTAGAATGAAACTTGGATTCCAAAAAAATATTCTGTGTAATTGACAATAGTAATTCAACAGAAATTTTGAACTTGTTTTTATTTTTAGAAAGTAACAGAGAGAAGAGTAATTGCTTTCAATGCCGATGTTGTGCCCCATTATCTGAGAACCAAACCAGAGCCTGACGTAGAGGAACGGTTACAACCGGTGTTAAGCCGGGCCTCCACCATGTCACCTGAAATGGCTCAGGTATAGAGTTACTATCATTATCACCTGAAATGGCCCAGGTATAGAGCTACTTAGAGTTTTAATTAGATGTCATTCAGAGCAATTCTGCTTGTTTGTAACATTTCATGAACAGAAAAGAATTTATTTCAATGAATTGTAAACTTTTTTATTAAAAAAATGTACACACTTAAAGCTGCATTTTGGCCTATTAATATTAGCTGCAGTAATGTAGCCCTCTCCAATTTTTTTTTATCTGAAAATTCCTTGAGGTGTGGCTTGAACTGAAAAATGTGACTATATACATTATACAGAAACAGATCAATAATATGAATAAGATGACTAGTAACATTGTGGACATCATCAAGTCTCACCAGGAAACCATGGAAAAAGAAGCCAGTGAGTCACAGATCCTCAAGCTTTCATTTCTGAATCAGTGCTAACATTGTATCCATTATAAATTAGATTATCATTTGACTGAATGTGTGCACATAGATGTACATGTATATAACATAGAAAAATAATTCTATGCACATAACGCACTAAAATAAGATAGAAAATTCTTTCATTTATGTTTTTCTTTTGAAAAATTTACTTACTTTGCCATATTTATTATAGATTTAATGTGCAGTGTCCTGCTTTAACATACATGCCAACTTTTGAAAATTCTCATGGGGGATTTTGCGCGTGACGACAATTTTCAAAGCTTTAAATTCGCGACATTTTGTCGTGAAAATAAATGATTATGAAATACTTTTTTTTTTAAATTATAATATTGATAGCACTTATTAATACAGCACAAATAAAACAATACAAATTAAAGTTTTATTTTTCCAAATTTAAATATCTTTGCTTAATAGTTGTCACTCTGTTCTATCAATTTACATTTTGTTTCTGGTATGTACCCTTAAAATCAAGTGTCACTTTATTCCCTAAAAGTAAGTATATAGACAGTGCATGATTAATTTTATCTCACACACAAAACAATTTGGAGAAATAGGCCTAATTAAATCATGATTTTTTTAACACAAGCTCCACCCCCCACCCATCCCAAAGAAAATTAAAATTGTAAAAGACTACATCATGAACATGATGAACCTTTTGCAGTCTTGGTAATGCCATATGGGTCTCTGGTATTTCCTTGACATATATGTAACAAAGAAATACAATGTACAATATGAGTATGATCTATGGGAGAATGGGGGGGGGGGGGGGAGAAATTCAGTGTACCTAACATGAGAGTATTATTTAATCTAAATTATTTTCAATATTTTTTTAAATTGACAAATTATACAGTATTTTTATTATTAGCAGTTAAAATCAGCAGCTATATATGCTTTGAAATTTTCTACTTTCGTTTTCAAAAAAACGATCTTTTTGGATTCCAATTTTATTGTTTGATTATCATTTTATTGACTTTAATTTTTTTTTTTAATAAAATGACTACTAATTAAGCCCTTAATCTATGTGTTTCACTTCGCATACCCCTTCAAACTAGTCCCCTAACTGCTCCAGGCTATAAGCTAACCTGGACAGCAGCCTGTGCGTTCAAGCGAGAAGTGATTTCCTGTGGCTAATTAACTCTGCATGCTATGTAAACAATGAGACTTGTCTGTGTGCATTGAATAAACAACTCTGATATTCTTAACTGACAAAATTGCAGGGAAACTGAAAATCTGAATTTTTTCAAATCGGGAAATTGGGGCAATTTTTCTCTCCCGATCGGGAAGGCGGGATGAAAGGGTAAAATCGGGAGAATCCCGCCTAAATCGGGAAAGTTGGCATGTATGCTTTAAGAGTTTTTGATACATACAAACTCATCATTATCTGTTGAAGTTGCCCCATGTCAAAATTTTCTTCCACAGATCAAAAATCTTCACTCTCACAAACCTCATCACAGGCAGATACAAATACTCTTCTGTCAGCTGTTCTAACGGGGAAGGGGTTCAAGTCGGCCAGTATGCGACGAGCAGAGATGTCACAGCAACAGAGCATGCAACCTCAGCAACAGGCAGCACAGCAGAAACCACAAGGTGCTTGTACATTTCTACATATTACAAATACTGTAAATCACTTTTTATTCACGAGAACTTTATTTTCACGTAATTACGCGAGACGGTATGCTCGCGAAAATTTCATTCTCGCGTATTATCTAATTCCTTAAGATTATATAGAGCAATGACCACAATTCGTGAAAATTTTGTCTCGCTAATAAGGTGTCAATGACTATTTCGTGAAAATAAGGTGTTTAAGGAAAATTAAGTGATCTACAGTAGTCTGAGCCTATTTAGATCAATATCAGCAGGTGTTTTTCCCCTTTGAATGTTTTGTAATGTTTTTTTTTTTGGCGGATTTATTGAATACTTTATATTTTCATTTCATTGATTAATTCTGAAATTTTGTCTATATACTTAAATATGTTTTAATTTTAGGGAACAACTTAGGAAAAGTTCACAGTTCAATAAAGACTAACATTAAACAGGGCTCAAGTTCTCATCCTTACCAGAGAAACTAAGAACTGTGAATCTGATGAGTGGTGACACTATTGTAATTTCTGCTGGTGTTGCTTGCTTGTTAAATCGATGAACACTAAGAAAGCAAACAAAGGAAAATTCTAAGTGAAAGTAGGACACATGGAAATGGAAGATATTGATGTATGGTTGATCAAAAAGTTAAACAAAAGGATGGAAAAAAGGAAAACATAACCTAAATGTATTTCTAGTGGATACTAAAATAAAAGCCTGAGAAAATACGAGTAATATGAAGTACTTCTAAAATACTTCAAAAAATAGAAATTTAGATGCTGTCATTCAGCAGTAATACATGTGACTCATGTTATCTCTAAATGCAATCTCCATCGGGTATCTGCAAATTGGTATTACCTCATAAGTACTAGGATTCCACAAGGCAAAGGTTTGTTTATAATTTGCTAAAGAAAATATTTTATTAATTTATTATGTGGTTAACTACTGGTGCAGATAAGAGTTGATACACCTGTAAAATATGTTTAAAATTAAATGAGGAACAGCACTCTGAAGATATCAAATGAAACTAGAGGTACTGTGAGCACTGAGCTTATAAAATGATACCCATGCCTCCCTTATGATTACTATGAAAATAGGAGTAGAATAATTGCTTTAGGTATAAAAAATTTGTAAAAGTATCAATTTTTATAGTCCCTGCTCGAAAAGCAGGAGAGTATACAGTGATGGAGAATCCCTCTGTCTGTACGTCAGTCCGTTATGCTTTGGGGTACCCATCTCTTTTATTGAACTCCTCTTATAATGAGACTTTCACAGTATCTTTTTTACATAGTGCCATTGTGCACCTCCTATTTTACTTTTTGATCAGACACGTATTTTGGGTTTCCCATAGCAAAACATTAAGACTGTCATTCTTTTGATAATAATGAGGGGTACCCATCTCTTATTTGCAACTCTTCCTATACCACTGAATAAAATTTAATGATACTTTTACAGATTCTTTATTACAGAATGCCATTATCATGCACCTTCTATTTTACTTTCTGATATTTGACATTTTTCAAGTCTTCCAGAACGAAACATGGAATTTGACATTATAATCATATGGGAGGCGGGGGTATCATTTAGTGGGCTCAGTGCTCACAGTACCTCTAGTTTTTCAGTGGTCTAGGAGGAGTTGCAAATAAGAGATGGATACCCCTCAATAATGTAGAAAAATGGCAATGCCCATTATTTGCTATTATATATCTATTCAAAAAGTAAAGTAGGAGTGCACAATGACACTATGCAACAAAGATTCTTTGAAAGTCTCATTAAATTTCATTCAGTGGTGAGGACCTACGGATAAGAGATGGGTACCCCAAAGCGTAACAGACAAATCTACGGATACCCCAATCACTATTTACCCTCCCAAATTTCAAGCAGGGGGTATACTTGGGTCACAATGGCATTGTGTTATAAAAAATCTCTGAAAGTTATAATTTTTTATTCAGTGTTTGCATGGGAGTAGTTGCGGATAAGTGATGGGTACCCTTCAGTATTATAGAATGAAAGACAGTGTCCATGTTTTGGTCTGGGAATTTCCAAAATATGTGTCGGATTAACAAGTAAATAGGAGAAGCACAATGGCACAATGTAATACAAATTCTGTGAAAGTCTCATTAAATTTAAATCAGTGGTGTAAGAGGAGTTGTGGATAAGAGATGGATGCCTTAAAGCATTATAATATATGGACGGACGGATGTACATGTACTCTTATACCAATGAATGAAATTTATTGAGGCTTTTAAGGAATCTTTTGCCATTATGCACATCCTATTTTACTTTTGGATTGGACACATTTCGTATTTCCTATAACAAAACATGGACACTGCTATTCTTTCTGTAATATTGAAGGGTACCCATCTCTTATTTGCAACTTCTCTCATACCACTGAATCATATTTAATGATACTTTCACAGATTCTTTATTACATAATGCCAGGTCTCCCAGAGCAAAACATGGACTTTGCCATTATAATCATATAGGAGGCGGGGTGTCATTAAGTGTGTCCAGTGCTCACAGTACGTCTCGTAACATAATGCCATTGTGCATCTCCTATTTTACTTTTTGATCTGACACTTTTTCGGGTCTCCCAGAGCAAAACATGGACTTTACCATTATAATCATATGAGAGCGGGGGAGGGGTATGTTTCGGGTCAAAAAGTAAAATAGAAGGTATGTAACAACGATTCTTCAAAATTCTCATTAAAATTTTATTCAGTGGTATAAGAGGAGTTCAATAAAAGAGATAACGGGTACCCCAAAGCGTAACGGACACGTACAGACAGACGGACGGATTCTCGATCACTATATACCCTCCCACTTTTCAAGAGGTTGTATAAGAAGTAAATAAAGTGAGAGAACCTTTTGCCTCGAAGGAGACCTTTCAATTAAATACAGTAGTGTTATATTTGCAACGTACCACAATGTACAGATTATCAAGAATTCCGATTACAGTGAAGATGTGATAACCGTATTTGTTTTGTTAGTCAACGTTCAAAATAGCATCATGCATAACTGTACATGCATATCAATGTTTAACAAATGTAAAACCAGTTCATTAGAGGCAGAAAATTAAAAAGCCAACGATATTTCAGGTAAGATACGAAGAGAAAAAATAGAACATTATCTCTTATATAGGCTCAGAAAAAAGTTAACGTAGCCTATATGCATGTTCTGTTCATATTTTGATAGAGAAATGTGTATATATTGACGATAATTGACGATGCATCCTTGACAGAAGGAAATTTAACTCCGGGGAGACCTGGGAAACGGCGGGAGGATTATACTCAGGGAGTATATGATTTGACCCCCTCCCCTCCTCTCATTCCTCCACTAAAAATGCATCAAGTTAATCTTCTATACGGAATGTCACAGCTGGCTTTACGATAGCTATGTTTTGTTCTGCTGCAAAATGGTGGTTATACTATAATTATAACACTGATACCCTCGTATGACGTACAAACAAGCCGAGGGACAAGGTTAAAGTTTTTAATAAAGGGTCGATCAACAAGGTCAATAAATCAAAATCTTTGTTACGAAAATAAAAGCCTTGACACAAGGACTACCTGTACATGTCGAAAGTCCTTGCTACAGTCATTCAGATTATATAGTAAAGGTTTTTTTGTTTTCAAAAGAAGTTATACTTCAATGTTAAAGTGAGGAAAAAAATACCAAAAGCAAAGATCTAGTCACAAAGAATGTATAAGAATGCATAAAAAAAAAAGCAAATCACACAAAAGTTATATGCAAGATTAAAATATAGGTCAAACATAACGTGAAAAGCGAGGAAGACAGAAATGTTAGTACTCAAAGAGAACTTGTATAACCGGTATAAAAGAGCACTAACTCCGACCGTTCAAAAGTTATGGTCAAATTTAAAGTTGTACAAAAGTAGATCAAACTCCAAGATATGCAAAGAAGCAAAGGTTTGGTCACAAGGAATACACTTGGTAAAAAAAAATCAACTGATATGAATAAGATTAGTATTTTTTGAAGAAGTAGTTCAAACTCCAAAGTCAATATGAAATATAATGGTACCCAAATAAAGATGACCGTCTTATTACAAAGAATACTGACTGAAATATGAAAGTCCTATCACCAACCATTCCAAAGTTATAGGCAAGATTAAAAGACGGATGGACATACCAAAAATAAATGTAAATGTTTCTCAAATGCAAGTCAAGAGATCAAAACTAATACAGGTAGGTTCCAAAGAAAGTTCTTGTCACAAAAAAGCAATATGTGAACTGAAAAACCCTACATCCAACTGTTTAATTGCAATGTCCAAGTTTTTCAAAAGTAGGCCAACCACAGAGTTAAACAAAATGTGTGTGTGAAACACTATGCGCCCGGCGGCAACAAAATTCGAAAAAAGCTATTTTTAGAACATAGGTCAAGGTCACAAGGTCATTGACTCTTGTGTCATTTGAAAAAAAAACTTAATTAGTGGAGTATGCATACCAAATATGAAGTCTCTATCTCCTATGGTTCAAAAGTTATGGCAAAAGTTCGAAAAAGTTATTTTTAACATATAGGTCATAGTCAAGGTCAAAAGGTCATTAACCTTGGTGTCATTTGAAAGAACTTAATTAGTGGAGTATGCATACCAAATATGAAGTCTGTATTTCTTATGGTTCAAAAGTTATGGCAAAGGTTATAGTTGACAACATACAGACAGGACAAAAACAATATACGCCTCGGATCTATCGATCTGGGCGCATAATAAAATGAAGCCGAACGAAAGATCTTATCACAAGAAAATAATAAATGTGAAATTTGAAAGCCTTAGTACGAACTGTTCAAAAGATATTGCCAGGTTTAAAAATTTTTAGAAGTAGGTCAAAGTACAAGGTCAATGTCAAAGGTTAAAAATTGTTGAAACCTAAGGGATGAAACTGTCACGAGAAATAAACATGTGAAGCACAAATGCTCGAGAACTAAACATTAAAGATAAAAGCTTTTAAAATGTGGGTAAAACTCTAAGGTCTGGTTCAAAAGAACCAAAATTTGAATCTCAAGGAAAAATCTTGTCACAATGAATTTACATGTATACTTGTAAAATATGAAAGCTCTAGAACTAACCATTCAGAAGTTATGGCCAAGGTTAAAGTTTTAAAAATGTCGTTCACACTCAAAGAACAAGTCAAAGGGTCTTGTCACAAGAAAAACATACATTTAAAGTAGAAACTATAGCTCCAGCTATTCAGAAGTAATGGCAAAGATTAAATTTTTCCAAAAGTAGGTCAAACTTCAAGGCCAAAAAGTAAAAAAAAATTACATGTACCCAAATAATGGTTTGTACATGTGAAGAATAAAATGCCTGGCACCTACAGTTTAAAACTTTTGGACAACGTTAAAAATTGGTAAAATTTTGCAAAAATTGGTAATACTGAAATGTTAAATATGTTGGTTACCAAAGAGATTTCCTTTCGAAGGAATTGTAGTATACCTTTGAAATATTAAAGCCATACTCCAACCAGATAATGTTACAGGCAAGGTTAATGTTTTGTGGACAAAAAGACAGGCAGATGGACAAATAGGGCAAAACACTACATGCACTGAATTTTTTTTGTTACAGATCATTATAAAATGGCCACGCCAAATAATGCAAAACACTATTGTAAGTAGTCCTCAAAGATTATGATATCATGGTGATTACGATACGGTGATTATAATGCACTGATGAGGATTCTTATTATTGACAGGAATTAAAACATAAAAACTTAACTTGAACCTAATCTCGTCTGTGCTTTTCTTACTTGATTTGCTTGTACATATGATCCATTATTTACAAACAGAACTATGATTTTATAAATTAATTTATATTTCCGATGAATGACCTTAAAGTTTACTTATTTTACATGACCCAAACAGCAATGGAAATACTTTAAATTGATTTATTAACCATAAAATCATGATTATGTTTTATTTCAGTGTTTTACATGTACAGTCTTAGATTTGCTACCGTTGAACAAAGAAAATGGATTCCGCTTTAGAGGAAAGACTGGCGAGAATAGAAATGAAACTGGATAACCTTCTGTCACAAAGAAAGAGTATTTCCAAGCCAAAAAGGGTACATGGTAGGCAAATTGTATTACTATTTACTGTGTAAAATGTTTTTTTTAAAAAAAGGTGAGCTAATATATAAACCTGTCCTGTGGAATTTGTAACAAGAAACAAGTCATATATATTTTTTTCTTTTCCAAAGCTCAATTTTCGTCACAACACAAACACGCCCTCAGAAAAGTCCACAAGAGACTGATGGAAGATTTTCACCTTGAATCAGAAATAGACAATCTTGTTCAACACGATGTGATTGGATTGGAAACATGGCACGAAATAAAATGCTTAGGAAGCAGAGCCAACCAGTTGAGAATGTTCTTACTTAAACTGGGGTCCTACGATACAACGAAATTTGAAGCCTTTCTTGACGTTCTAAAAGAATCGCACATTCACATAGCAGAGGAGCTGATGAGTTATATGACCGAAACAAAAGAAAATGATGATATATTGTATGAGGAGGACCGAGTGGACATATTCTGTATAAGATGTGAAATTTCAAGACGAGTTCAACCTGAAGAGGTCATCGATGAGTTGTTTTCAAGTGGAATTATTGGTGCCACAGCACTTCGAAAATACATCGAACCGAAATCGGAGTTCAAAGGCAGTAAGGTGTGGAAGTACGTCTTTGATAATTTGAAAAAATTACAGAAAAACGATATCAATGTTTCCAAAATGATGCAAGAAGTTCTCGCAAAGAAATATTCTAATATCGCAAGAAGTCTTCAGTTTCGTATGAAGTGTTCTTGGGATTGCACTTGCGAGGCAGTGGATCCGCCTACGCAAGGGCGTCTCCACTCTATAAGTGATGCTAGCTCTGTCATCGCTCGAAAATGCGATACCCGTTCGAATACCCCCGAGATTTTGTTTGAGACTCCATTTTCTAACCAGAAATCGGAAGGACAATCAACACAACCAGAAGTTAAGATAGTGTCACCTCTCCAAATCCAAAATCCAGAAATTGTAGTCACTGCAGAAGAAAGTGTGCCGGATAATTGGAGCAGGACGGAGTCAGGGTATTTCGATGTAGACAATGAGGATCCCTCATTAACCATTGCACCAAAAACAATTACATGTACAAAAAAGAACACGGAACAACTACTAAGACCTCCCCAACCTGAATGCAACACAGAAAGCATCGTTCATATTTCAAATACTGGTCAACGAAAAGAAGACAGACACGATGGAATCATTTACAAAAACCCATGCTTTGATGATTTTATAGATTCAATTGCTGGCCATGCTGAAATACACACAAAAATTGACCCTGAAAACGGAAAAATTTTGAAGAAGTTCTTCTCTAAAAGACAGATGGATGGTGAATCGAGCGAGTCTATGGTTTGATTGTACGTTTAAGTTACCTCTGCTGACTCATTAAATGAAACTTCTAAAAGAAAGAATCATGGCAATCGGGCAAAATCGGATATAAAAGTCATCATAAAGGAATGATTGATGTCATTTATGTTTAACTTATTGAATTATTTCTCTTATTTTATCCATTCTGTGGAAATATTGTCTACGCATTTTGAAAATGGACATGTTACTAGAAATATTGCTTTATGGTAATAACAATTATTTAAACTTTTTTTTTTCGCATGGAAGTGTTGTTTGTTTAACATATAAGAATTTGAATGCTTTGAACAAATTACCTTTGTATTTGATATGAGGAAATTCCACCCCAATTCTATTCACTTTATTGGTATCGGCGAAATATTGACGTCCTTTTCAAGCGAATAGCGCAGGGTAGCAGCAGGTTATCTGTACTTGCATGTGAAGAACACTGTGCTATCTGGATAGTGGTCTGCTTGAACGTTGATTTTAAAAGCATATATGTAATTAACATGGTTATATTAGTATATCCAACCTCTATCGTATGTCAAGTTGCATTAAAAATTATAATTCACTGAATATTTTATAAAAACTATATGTTTGTTTTCAATATGAATTTGAAACAAAGAAAGTTTCTATATGATTTTTAAAGAATATTTTACAAATGGAATGAAAGAAAATCAGATGTGGCTGATTGTGTATTGGGAACCAAAATGAAAATTTTCTTTGTGAAGTCCAAAAAGAAAATGCTCTGTGAAGTCTAACTTCCTTTGATATATCAATCATAGTAATCGTCCCGGAGCGATTTCTCGTATAACCACCATGCACACTTGTGTATCATCAAAAATGTTTTGCACGACAGAATTCCTTGAAAAATTGTGACCAATATCTGCTGATTAACATAATAAATTATAATAAAAGTAAAAGTAAAGTCATAAAACCCAAAGTACACGTAGTTTAAGTTGTCTGTTAGTTAAAACCTTCTCTCTCCTCTTTTTATATATACTGGGGAGTATGAAACATACATAATTACATATTGGCCTTGAGAGTAATAGTTGGATATCAGTAATTTCCGTTGGCAGAACATGAATTTGAAAAAATGTCACTTCCCCATAGTTGATGCAGTTATACCTTCCGGATCTTGGTTCGTTGGTGTGTATAAAGTATGTCATTGCATATAAATACTGTAAAGAGGAAGCCTATTAAAACAGTCGTGTTTTTATGAAGGCAGAGTGCATTGCTTTTTTCCGCGTTAAACATGGCTATCGCGGTACATCTCCAAGTAAGTGCTCTTTCACATATTTAAACACAAGGAAAGATTGCAGTTTGATGCTTGAATTATTAGATATATATTTTTTTGGTTGTTGTGTTGTCATGTATTTCTGGTTGAATTGAAACAAATATCTTAAAATTTGAAAATTAACGATATAACTTTATTATTAAAACAATCTTTTTATGCGATGATATGACGCGCAAATCGTTTGCTAGAGTATCATGGGCAGGAATCCTAACCTCGGGAGTTTGTTGGAGATTTCTTCACAAATTATATATCGTATTATGCTTATTTGTCTTGTTTACCATAGTAAAAGTCGAGGAAAACTAATTAAGAAATTGTTTCTACACACACAAACGCGCACACAAAATTACCCCAGTATATACCTTATAGTATTAAAGTACATCATACATGCAATATTGAACCACAAAATATATATCTTTTCCTATATTCTATCTTTTACAGAAAATTTATGAAAAGCTTGAATGCATGGAAGAAAAGTTGATAAGAATACTTTCCTTCGAGGAGAAATTGGAAAAGATTTTGAACATCACGGAATTCCTTCGTGGATACCGGCCTTGTAAGGATGGAACTGAAGACAGCTGTCAGAAAAAGAGACACAACTTCAAAGCAAATGGAAAACTGGATTACAACCAACAAAATTTTGAGAAGAAGAAAAGATATATGCCCGGTACTACTTTTTTCACGTTTTAATGTAAAACAATATTGATAATTCTTTCCAATATTACATTTAATAATAAACAAAATATTTCATTTCACCCTCAGATTTCCATGTCAAAGTTTTACAGAAGAACCACAAAGTGCTTGTCAATGAACTGTGTATTCGAGGGCACGTTATTGACGATCTTATTGAAAACGAGGCCATATATCAATCAGATCAGGAAGCCATAATGTCATGCAGCTCTCAGAAGGATCAAATCAGGAATCTTCTGATGTGTCTTTCTCATTACGGCGAGGATAACTTTCTGAAGTTCGTAACCGCGCTAGATTCAGAACGGCCAGATCTCGCCCAAAATCTCCAGAGCGACTACCAAAGACAAAAGTCTGAACATTCAGAGGAGAACGTACCGTGTCTAAGATGCTGCATTTACCATCAAGTGGATATCAAAGACGCGGTTGATGACCTCTATACCGAGGGTCTTGTAGATGAATCATTCTTGCAACGAGCGGTTGGGACCTTTTGTCGTCATGATAGAAAACATCTTTGGAATGAGGTCTTCTCAAAAATGCAATATGCTTCAGCTGAAGATCAAGATAAGTATTGCGAGGCATTGCAAAATGTTATTCAAAGGAAATACATGAGTATTTTTTCTAACTTTTCTGATTTTGACTGTAACGAACACACAGTGAAATGCATTTGTAAAGAAAAACAGAATGCTGAACACATTTCTTCTGACCAAGACAGTTCGGAGCAAACAGCGACTTCGTCAATAGACGCTCGAGAAGCTTCTATGGGAATGGAACAAAGCCAGTTAAAAAAATCCCAACCTTCTAACTCAATCCCCGAAGTTCGCCGTAGACCAAAGCTAAGAAAGAGGCGAAATGGGGATGTCAAAACTAAGAGCAAAACGGCCAATCTTCTTATCGCAAATGTGTTACACCACTGGTACAAAACCTTCCAGCACCAACAAAATAAAGACCAGTCAAGTACAGATTCAAGCTTTGGGCTCAGTGAGGACGCACGGTACCGTTGTTTTATTCGGGGGCATGATGGGAATTTTCAGAAAGCGTGTTTTTGTAAGTACCGAACTGATAGCTGCTTTGCGTCCAGTGAAATGAATTCAACCGATTTTTCCCAGGAATCGAAAGATGAAGATTTAACAACATCTAAATAGAATACATTTCAATGCTCACACATGTACAAGTTCACTTTACTTGCTTTAGACATACATTCTTACAACATGCATAGAAAAATCAGAATTATGTGGTAGTGCGCTTATAATATATACATGAAAAAACAGCACCATAAGTGCCTGCTTTGGTTCTATACATCTATGCATCTGTATACATCGATGCTCGTTAAAAATATCTGCCAGTGTTAGCAAATATATACGAGGGATGATCAAAAAGTTCGCGAACTATCTCTAAATCAACGAAACCACTTCAGATCAGAAAAAAATTGTTGAACGAGGAGAATATTCTTCGTAGCTCATTAAAATTTTGACCAATGCGAGTAAAGCATAGTCGGAAGATGAACTTTATCGCGACCTTTCAATATCCAATCGCAGTAAAGGAAATATTTCTTGTATACTGTTGACATCAGTTGTTGATTTCAATTGCGATGGAAACAAAACTTGCCACTGACTGAATATGACGTCACAATAGAGAGGCGTAAATATTCAAGATCACGACACTTTTTGTGATCAAGCAGCCACGGGTAGGAGAGAGCTATATGCGGACTCCGGACCGTGGCTTGAGACGATGGGTTGTCCAAGTCGTACTCCTTTAACGAACGACTGTTAACTTCATGAAATTTCTAGGAAACGCCTCCGCAGTAGCGTATAATAGGCCTAATTTGTACACAGTTTATTACGACAAAAGACTTCCTAAAAATTCAATCAATGATTAGATTGATCGTTTTCAAGAAGGAAGGCAGATGGTTAAAAATGATATTTTGTAATGTTGCCCAGTGAAAGCAGGTTTGAAAATAGATGCATTTTTAGGTCACCTGAGTAAATTGCTAGGGAGGGGCTAAATAAGTATATGGTGAAAATGCATTATTTCTTTAAAAATTTTCTTCTCTGCTCCTGAGTATTAAATACTAAGTACATAGTTATGATGAGCAAGAGTGCCTCTACCAAAATTGTGAATTTTATGGCCCCAGGGTCAGGGGTTCTGGTGTTAGGGTGGGATTCTATTGATTATATACCCAGCAGGCATTTCAACGTTGATTCAACGTTGAATCAACGTTGCACTTCAACGTTGAATCAACGTTGAATTTTGGTTGCATATGAAAGTTGAGGCAACGTTGAGACATAACGTTGTTTCAACGTCAATTTTCAACGTTGAATAAACGTTGAAAATGGGTTGAACTTTTGGTTGATTTATGGTTGATATTTGGTTGCAAATGAAAGTTGAGGCAACGTTGAAGCTTCAACGTTGTTTCAACGTCAAATATCAACATTGAACAAAAGTGAACATTTGTTGAAATTAGGTTGAGATTTGGTTGAAATTTTCCGGATGTACAAACGTTGATATTTGGTTGAAATCACGTTGCATTCATATTACATTTTGCTTTATTAACAAATACATTTCAAATTCTAATAAAAAATTTTATTCAAGTTGTGTAATATGTATATCAGTTGTAATCAAGTATTATGATTGTGAGAGAATTAATTTTACATGTATTTTTATTCAATCACTGAATCTCAAAAATCACTGCTTGACAAAATTTATATTCCTTGGGAAAAGTGGGTCACAATAATCACATCCAGGTCCTTCAAATTACACGTATGCCTTACACAAAGTGGCAGATCCATTGATTTTAATCACGCATAGAGTTAAGTCCCACGAATGAAAGAAATGAACAGGGGAATCCACCCTCTAAAGCAAAAGCCTATTGATAAAAGAAATAAAGATGTTAAAGCCATTTGTTCGATAAAATGTACGTACACATGTAACACGTTATATCAAATGATAAAAATAAATATACATGAATGATTTAAAAAGTCAGACAAAGGAATATATTCCGGTACTTGGATTTAATTAACATGATTAAAAGAATTAATGTTGCCTTTATGTTAAAATTCGTATGAGTATGCTTTTAAATAATTATTACTAAAGAAAAATGTTATAGACATACATCATGTACATATACATAGTGTACTTACAAAATGTTGCATTCCTTTGTATATATAATTTTCACGGGAGAAGAATCTGATGCAATCAAGGCTGACTATACATTCAATATTCCCTGCATAACTGGTTGATTGAACCATACGGCGAACTACAATCAGTTTAATTGTATAATTTATTAGTATACTAGCTTATATTTCATAACCAAATGAATATCAATAAAACACATAACACAACCAAGGATGTGCATTTCACGCAGATTTCAAATATACTTATAAAACAAGAATTAAATGAGGGACAGATACTAAAAAACTGAATTTCTTAAATTCATGAAAAGGACATAATACTTACTGAGCAGAAGTTGATATTCCAGCCTTAATCCTTGTGTATATAGCTTGAAAAACACATGAAATATGAACAGCAAAGAAACGCACACTTCTTGTCCATCAGTTGAATTCAAATTTTGACCTAGATAAGCTGCAAACAGCTATACTCTGACCAGCAAGAAAATTGCATAACAAGGTTATCCTGACACTGAAACTGACCAACTAAGCGAGAGGCACTCCTTATCTGATACATGTATCTCGAAGGTTTTTGAGGAGTGGATCTTAAGTAATGCAACTTGACTGGGGTTAATTGTCAGTGTGAAAATTCTTATGTTTTTATTTGATTTTTTTTTTATATTTTGTGAAAAGAATGATTATAGAATTAATACACAGAAAACACAATCTAATAAAATAAGCTTTAACACTTCTTAGATTCGCTCTGTATACGTATAATCTGTGCAAGAGTATACGGCACGGATCCATATGAGTCTTAATTTAACAACATTAATTCTGAATAATTATTATTATTACTTTTATAGTAACATGGAATTACAGTGAGATGTTGGATAAAGATGTTAAATTATTTATTAAAAGCTTATATTTGACATATTTTTTAAATATATGTCAAAAAATAGCATTCACAATTTATTGAAACATAATTATAATGAAGTGTTAAATGTATATGCCATGCTTCATTTAAACTCATATTTAAAATTTTATAATGGTAATAGCTATTGGCACAACTCTTTTGAGTAAATCAATTTATAATGCATGCGTTTCATTTATTAAGTATCATTATTATTATATATATAAAATTTTCTAACAATGCATACAGCTTTGTGTATATTGCGAAAAATCGCATGGATTAGAGTTAAATTAGGCACCTTTATATTTTGAACTTAAAAACTAAAGTGCTCAATATTCGTTACCCCTTATTTTTTTCAACGCTAAATTTTCCTAACTTTCCTAAAGTTGAAAATATGTTGCATCTTGCACGTTGTTTCAACGTTGAAATCAAGTCAGTCAACTTTGCATCTTTAAACCTTGTTTTAACTTTACAATATCAGAAAATACTCAACGTTGAAAACATGTTGAATCTTCAACGTTGTTTCAACGTTGAAATATCGACGAACATTCAACGTTGAAAATATGTTGCAGCCTTAACGTTGTTTCAACGTTGAAATATCGACGAACATTCAACGTTGAAAATATGTTACAGCTTCAACGTTGTTTCAACGTTGAAATACCGACGAACATTCAACGTTGAAAATATGTTGCAGCCTCAACGTTGTTTCAACGTTGAAATATCGACGAACATTCAACGTTGAAAATATGTTGCAGCTTCAACGTTGTTTCAACGTTGAAAAAAGGTTGAGGATTCAACGTTGAAACCTCAACGTTGAAACAACGTTGAAATATAGTTGATCAACGTTGCAACCTATATTCCACCTCCTTTCAACGTTGAAACAACGTTGCGTGCCTGCTGGGTATAGTGAAAATACATGATTTCTTTAAAGATCTTCTTCTCTGCCCCTGGATATTAAATTAACTAACTAAGTGCATAGTTATGATGAGCAAGAGTGCCTCTACCAAAATTGTGAATTTTTATGGCCCCAGGGTCAAGGGTTCTGGTGTTTAGGGGGGGGGACTCTATTGATTATAATAGTGAAAATACATGAATTCTTTGAAAATCTTCTTCTCTGCTCCTAGGTATTAAATAAATTAAGTAAGTGCATAGTTATGATGAGCAAGAGTGCCTCAACGTAAATTGTGAATTTTATGGCCGCAGGGTTAATGGTTCTGGTGTTAGGGGGGCTCTATTGATTATAAAGTGAAATACATGAATTGTTTGAAAATCCTCTTCTCTGTTCCTAGGTATTAAATAAACTAACTGAGTGCATAGTTATGATGTGCAAGAGTGTCTCAACCAACATTGTGAATTTTATGGCCCCAGGGTCAAGGGTTCTGGTGGGGGGGGGGGGCTCTATTGATTATATAGTGAAAATACATGAATTGTTTGAAAATCTTCTTCTCTGTCCTTAGGTATTAAATAACTAACTGAGTACATAGTTATGATGAGCAAGAGTGCCTCAACCAAAATTGTGAATTTTATGGCCCTAGGATCAAAATCTATTGATTATATAGTGAAAATACATGAACTGTTTGAAAATCTCTTTCTCTGCTCGTAGGTATTAAATAAACTAACTGAGTGCATAGTTATGATGAGCAAGAGTGCCTCAACCAATATTGTGAATTGAATGGTCCCAGGGTCAGGGGTTTTGGTGTTAGGGCGGGGCTCTATAGAATATATAGTAAAAGTACATGAATTCTTTGAAAATCTTCTTCTCTGCTCCTAGGTATTAAATAAACTAACTGAGTGCATAGTTATGATGACCAAGAGTGCCTCTACCAAAATTGTGAATTTTATGGTCCCAGGGTCAAGGGTTCTGTTGTTAGGGCAGGGCTCGTTTGATTTTATTGAAAATACATGAATTCTTTGAAAATCTTCTTCTCTGGTCCTAGGAATTAAATAAACTAACTAAGTACATAGTTATGATGAGCAAGAATTCCTTTTCTAAAATAATGAATTTTATGGCCCCAGGGTCAGGGGTTCTGGTGTTAGGGCGGGGCTCTATTGATTATATAGTGAAAATACATTAAATTTTTGAATTTTTTTTGTCTGTCTCTGGGTATGAAGCAGACTAAGTACCTATATAGGTATGATGAACAAGGGCCCTAATCTTG